TAATAATAAATATATAATAGATATATAATAGATATATAATTATTTAAAACTCTCTTAATAACTAATAATTTTCTTGTATTAATTATGGTAGTGAACAATATTAATATTTATATTAATTTTTTATTATTAATTATCTTTTATAACTATTTTATAACCTTACTATAACTATATTATAACTATTATAACTATTTTATAACCATACCACAACCTTAAAACTAGTTTATAAATTATAATACTAGCTTAAATACTATTTATAATATATTATATATCTATATGCTTACTATTATTATTAATACTGGATTATTAACCACGTTGTTACTAAACCCCTCGGGCCACTACGTATGTATTTATACGTTGCCTCTCTCTCTCTGATGCTGACCATCTAGCAATCCTCTCAAAGGGATACAGTTTTTCAACGAGGTCGGAACGATCCCTCTGTCGCCGAAAACTCGGAGCGCCGGTTCATTGCGGTCAGTCGGTCGATGCGTCTACACTGGGCGATGGGAATATTGAGTCTGGAAGATGACATTCTCTCTCTAGATATGGATGATCGATGATTTTTTGCTTTGTTACCCTATTATACCATATTTTGTATTATTTCATATCAACTGGATATTGAGAACGTCAATCGTCACAATCCTAATTGTGTCTTTCTCGTCTTGTAACTAATAGTTAGTTGGTTACGGAGTAGTATGACCTACCAAGTGTGGATGCCTGAGGCACGATTTGAGACAGCGTCAACGATCATCCCAGCATTCAAGCACAGAGTGCGAGGCAACGAATCGCAGGCTGTAGATAATACAGATGAGTTAGGTATTACTAGTTGAAGCTCTTTGACTGAGACAAACCGCCTCAACATGCAGGTACACCTGGAGAGACGCCGGGCGTCCACATGGCGACAAGCTCCTCGCTGACAATAGATAGTATTGTAGCTTCTTTGTGTGGCAGAAACGGGGCAGCCGTCGAATACTGCATAAAGAGCTCTACCTGCTAGCTGAGGTAGAAGAATAGCCTTCGCTTCGTGGCAGCTCCTGCGTGGCTGTGGGCTCCGTGCCCCTGAGACTTGAGTGTGTTGGGCACTTGTCGATTACCGAGGCAAGACCAGAGCTTTCTCTGGAGATTCTGATGTGTTTGTCTATTTTTGATGAAACACGGACGTAGGAGGCAGTAGGCAGTAGAAGGTAGTCGTAGAGCCCACCGCGAGGCTGAGAACGTGGCGGCAAGCAACGATGTCATCGCCTTTGATCGCCCAATAACGAATGCCTCGACTTTCTTCCTCCCAGCGCCTCTTTTTGATCAGCAGACTCTGTTCTACCTTTGAACTGATAAGAGCCATCTCTTTCTCTGTTTCTCTGTGTTTCTCACTCTGCTTCTCCCACTATCACACCAGCCTTATCACTGCTATTTCCCCTTCTTCCACGGTTTATTTTACCCCACCACAAGCGGCCCGTCGAGTCAGCCGCTTCGACATCCACGGTTCTACAACAATAATACAAGGGCAAAACAGAATTGAAGTCAAGAGATTCTCCTCGAATCATGTCTCGACATCGCGATTACCGCTCCTCGACAGGCACGCTGGACAGCAGCGGCAGCCGTTGGGACAGCGAGCGATTCTCCCGCGAACACGAGCGCCGTCGCTCACGAGGGCCCCCCCCGGTCGCGGAGAGGCCTCGCCGGGTAGAAGAAGAGCGGTTTGAGGTTCGTCTACGCGATGAAGACCGGTACGGACCTCCCGCGCGGCGTGTGGACCGGTACTACGAAGATGAAACTGTTGTGCGTGGCGCCGGTCCGATGGTGGTTGCCTACGATCAGCGTCGGCACGAGAGCCCCCCGCCGCCCCCGCGTCTGATCCGTCGCCAGTCGTCGCTGGACACCTTTGACCGTGTCCCTGCGAGGAAGCGCGAGAGCTACTCGCGTCGGGCAGCGCCGATGGCGGTGCCGGTGCCCTTGCCTCCCTCGAGACGGCGTTCTCCTCCGCGTCGCTACCAGGAGCAACAGCAGGACTTCTACGAGGATATCCGTATCGCGGAGCCAGATCTCTATGGCGATGAAGAGTACCGCGATTTCCGGGAGCAGAGACGTCGGTCCAGTAGCCACGGGCGCTACCGCGAGAAGGTCGTTGAGGAGATGATCTCCGAGAAGGTGGAGAAGCCGTATCCTCGCAAGGGAAGGACAAGGATGCCTAGACGGCTGGTCCATACGCAGGCGATCATCGAGTTGGGCTATCCGTTTGTCGAAGAGGTGCTCCCCTTTATTCTTCTGCCCCCTTATTCATTGTCACAGTGGCTAACTTTTGAAGGACAACGTGGTTGTCATCCAGAAGGCTCTGTCTAAAGATCAGATCGATGAAGTCATCAGTGTCAGTCGAGACATCCGTCGGAGTGAGAGTGGTAAGGCTATCCATGTGTATCAGTCTCAAGGTCAAGAGAGTTTCCACTGACAGTGAAACGTTAGCTCGCTACGTCCATTCCCCCTCTCCTCCCCCGCCTCGCAGGGAGCGTTTCACCGAGGAGAAGCTTGTCCTGAACTCCTTCACGCCGCGGTCCAGCCGCAACACCTTGATCGTGGAACGCTCACCGTCCCAGCATAGGTCCCGGTCCCGGTATCGCGGCGAGGTGGTCGAGAAGAAGCAAGAGGTGACCACGACGATTTCTCGGCCTCGATCTGTCTCGGTTCACTTCCGGAACCGCCGGCCCTCCTCACCCCCCGCGCCACGGAGGGTTGAGCGACGTGAGGTTCGCGAAGAGATAGTCGAGTCCGAGAAGCTCCGGACCAACCCCATGGCCCTCGTGATCCGCCCCAGGCACAGCGACAGCCACGAGGACCTGCACGAGTACATCCGAGAGCTGGAAGAAGAGAAGCGCCTGCTGCAGCTGGAGCGGCGGGGCGGCGTCGACATCATCGAGCGTGACACGGAGATCATCGATAGCAAAAGCGGCATTGAAGAGGTTGTCAAAGTGAAAAAGGATCACAAAGGTAGGCTCAGCCTTGTCCGAGCACCGACTCGCTCTTTTTGGAAGAAGCCATTCTGATGAATTCTTTTTTTTTTGTCACTTTTAGGCGCCAACCCCCGCATCATTCGCGCAATGATGGCCACCTTGACCTGACGCTGTCTCCCATAACAGCATACCCTGTGGAACTTGACGCTGGTCGTCATGTCCGAGATGGCTTTAAGATTGAACCTTTCATTCCTCCGCAACTGATTTCGACGATCGTTGAAGGGAACGGTAAATTGTATTGTGTATGTGAGATGGCAGATATGGTAATATTCTTGTGCTGGATGACTTGATTTGTTTCATTATGACGGCTGTTTTAGTATTCAATATTTATTCCATATTTTATCCAATATTTATTCAATATTTGTATTTAATTCATATAATGATTTACTATTCTACTTCTCCATACTGATAACACTGGCAAGGCGGTGAGTTCGGGACAGTTGGCCAGCAAGCCTCAGCGGATACCTTCTCTCGAATAATAATCCAGACCAGGTCCCTCCCACGCGAGTCTGTCGAATCGTCGAGTCGTTGCAGATTCTCACTGTGAATTTGTTGTCTATCGTATCGTCCCTTCATACACTTTCAGCCATGGATAAGGTACAGGCGTTCGGCAAGAACTTGAGGTAAGAGGGAAAAAAGCAACGCTGCCTGCTGCGGCGGTTGCCCCCGTGCGTGGGCTGGGACGTCCTGCTGATGATCGCTTGTTTACCCCTCGACAGCGCGAGCTTCTCGCCCTTTGCTGCCCGGACCCAGCAGATGATCAAGGAGCAGCTGGGCCAAGCTGACGATCGCACCCAGCTGCCCGATGAATACATCGAGTTGGAGAAGCGGGTTGACGCCTTGAAGCTGGTCCACCAGAAGCTTCTGCAGGTGACGTGAGTGTTTTGCTTCGGTATCCCGAGAAAAGAGAGGCGCGAAGAGATATTAAGAAAAAATGAATGGTTTAGCTCCCAATACTCGAATGAAGCCTACGACTACCCGCCCAATATCCGCGAATCGTTCAACGACCTCGGCCGCACCATCAGCGAGAAGGTCACCCTTCTCTCGCAGGCTTCGTCCCCCGGCGAGGCGCAGGCGGCGCTGACGGCACCCCCCTCGGCCAAGCCGCAGCCCAAGACCTTCAACCATGCGATCGCCCGCGCCTCGCTGGCTGGTTCCCAGACCCTGGCGCAGAGTTCTCACGACGAGGATCCTCTCGCCACGGCGCTGGAGAAGTACGCTCTGGCCGAGGAAAAGGTCGGCGAGGCTCGTCTCGCGCAGGATGCTCAGATCCAGTCCCGTTTCCTGGCCGGGTGGAACACCACGCTCAACACCAACCTGATGTTCGCCGCCAAGGCGCGCAAGAACGTCGAGAACTCGCGGCTCATGCTCGACTCCGTCAAGGCCAGCAAGAAGGCCGCCGCCCGCGGCGACCTCGACAACCTCTCCGAAGAGGCTCGCATTGAGATCGAGCAGGCCGAGGACGAGTTTGTCGGCCAGACCGAAGAGGCCGTCAGTGTAATGAAGAACGTATGTCAACAAAACAAATACTCGTCAGTGGATTGATCAGCATTACTCACTGACTGTATAGGTCCTTGATACCCCCGAGCCCCTCCGAAACCTTGCGGACCTGATTGCCGCCCAGCTGGAGTTCCACAAGAGAGCATATGAGATTCTCAGCGAGCTTGCTCCGGTCGTCGACGGCCTGCAGGTCGAACAAGAGGTGAGTGTGTCGGAATGTTGGTCGTGCATCACGCCCTTGACTAACTCGGAACTGTAGGCCAGCTACCGCAAGAGCCGTGAGGGAGCGTAGATTTCGTTCCTGGCCGTGTTCGATGACCTTTTCTTCGTTTATCTTGTTGGGCTTGATCTCTGTGATTTACCTACCCTCCCTCCTTGCTTTGTTTTCTGCTGCGATGCCCGAGACCCATGTTGATATCACGGTCGTAGACGATCAATTTTATGCGCTATTATTCTGTAGATGTATTCTTTTCCTTTGTAATTGTAGGTTTCTTCAGAATAATATGATGTTGAATTGAAGTCCAGTAAATTCGTTACAGTCCAGTTCTACACAGTATAAATCGCGCCAAGCATCCGGGCGGTACGCAAGCACCAGCTGTACCTCTCCCATCCTCCGTTCACCTCGACCAGCCCGATCCAACCGCAACAACCACGATTTCCTCCTGTCGAACCGCCACGTTTGCGGTCTATACGGAGTACCCTGTTTATCTGCGATCTTCCGACTCAGCGATATCCGAGTCTGCCTTTTTGTCTCGCGTGCAGGACGCAGCGAAAACACCGCAAGACAATCGACATACATCGTCTATAGCTATACACCTCGCTCGCTCTCTCGCTCTAGCTAGGATCTCAGAACTGAGAGGAAGACAAAGAAGACACAATGGCGAACGGGTACGCTTGCACATGTACACTGCCACGGGTTCCAACTTCATAGCGCTGATCGATCTAGTTGGAGTCTAATCATCGGCCTCATTTTCGTCGTGATCGCATGCCTAGTTGCATGGGTGTTTAGTCCCAAGGGCGAGAACCAGACGTACGTCACTAATCACCTAGATATGGTGTACTTATACATTTTACTGGGAACTGACATTATCGAAGGTTATACCGCAGCACGCTGATTTTAACATTTGCCTCTTGCTACTTGATGTGGGGTGAGTTTACATTTATGAAGAATGATGGCAGTCTATGGGACACCTGCTAATCCAGACAGCTATCACGTTCCTCGCGCAATGGCATCCCCTTATCGTGCCTCGAAGATCGGATATCCGCCCTGATCGTGTACCGCAATAAGTCATTAGGGGAGGATGTCATATATCTAGGTATCATGGATAGGTATCATGGATAACTTGATATCAGGACCGGTCAGGATGTGTTTTAAATTCTACCATTTCTACCTGGTGTATCAATAATGAAAGGTCGTTCGAAATCATGTTTAAGCATAGACAGTGGAAATAATATGACATGAGGTATAGAGTAGCAAAAGAAGAAAAATAAGTAGAATGGTGTGTTAGCTGACTCCCACAGCCCCCAAGATGACTCTCTGAACCGCCCACCGCGCAACTTGGCCGGCCACCGCGAGTGCCACGGCCCGCAGATACCCGCATCCCAGCAGGATGTACATGGCCTCGATATTGTTCAGAAAGACGAGGTGCGTGTCTGCCGCGCTGAGCGACAGGGCGGGCACAAGCAGCTGGACCAGACTAGCCAGGTACTTGATCGGCGTGGAGGGGGAGTCGTGCATCGACAGGGCCAGTTTGGCGGGCCATTCGAAGACGGAGAACGAGGAGGAAGACGGGGACGACGACGACGACGACAGACTAGAATGGCTGCCAGGAATGGCACTCGCGGCGGCGGCGGCTGTGTGTTTCGACGTGGCGCTTGAAAGAAGCATGTTTGCCATCGTCGTTACCGCCGTAGTTACCGGGGCAGTAGACATGGGAGCCGCCAGATCGGGCACTGCCGTTGATGACTTGGTTACCTGCATACTATTCCCACTCCCGTCCGGTCCCCAGATGACAAGGAGGATAGGGAAGAGCTTCGCAGAGCTGCTGACGAGAAGAGCGGTGCTGATGGCCGTCGGGCTGGCGGGGAACGGGGGCGGGAGCGGGCGGACGGGCTGGATCAGCGCGGCAGAAGGACGGCGAGGGCCAAACGTCGGCGAATGCGATCCCAGAGGAGTGGTGGGGGGAGGAAGCTGGGCGCCGGGACTGAGCGTTGCTGCTGCTGCCGCCGCTGTATTTCCATTCTCAATGTTTTCGTTCGAAATAGTCGAAATAGGTCTGGTAGGACTCGTCGAGAAGCTGGGCGTCCTCCAAAGCTGTTGTGTCGGCAGGCTTACGGAGGAGGAACACGCAGGGAACAAAGGGAGCACCGGCGTCGACGGGTCTGAAGCGAGGGGGGTCTCGACCGTACTTCCATTCGTTGTGGTAGTAGTCGCGGTGGTTGCTGCTGGTGGTGCTGGTCCATCATACCACTGGCGGGGTTTCGGGGCCAGAACAGACGCCAGCAGACGGACGGTAAGGTGATGAGCGAGGGTGGTAAGCGCGTTCAGGCTCAGGAAAAAGAGGTATTGGACGACAATCGGGGCGCGCGACAGAAACGTCGAAGCGAGTGAGGGGGATTTCTCGATGCGGGCCCAGGTCAGATAGACGTCAAAGAGGAGCAGGAGGATTCCGAGGCGGATAATAGAGCGCTAATACAGCAAGCAGTCAGCAACTTGGTTGTTGCAAGAAACAAGAGGGCTCAAGTACATCAAACTTGTTGTCGTCTCGGCCGAGCCGGTTGAAGAGCAAATGGCGATAAACCTGCGGTTTGATCAAGACCAGATCGATAAATATCACGACAAAGTCATGCTCGACGTATTTGTCGGCGAAGCGCTTGCAGCGTGGACATTGCGTCAATCGCACGCCCTTCCCCAGCGAGCGGTCATCGGCCCGACTGTAGGTGCTGTACAGGTGCGAGACCGGATAGGAGCATTCGATGCAAATGGGCATCGTGTCACCATAGCCCCATGGTGACAGCAATCGGGGCGATTCCTGGATTGTGTACCAACCCAACCCGTCGCAAGGGGACAGCTGGTGGTGAAGATGCCCAAGGCGGTGAACAGTCTAGACTCTCTACCAGGCACGAACCACCAAAATATAGATTCTGAAGGATTGTGAGGTACTCTTGTTGAGCTGCTGCATCTCTATATACTATATACATCAAGTCTATATGCATTGGAAAGGACATTCGACCCCTTGCTCAGTCGACAACGCTGCTGTTGTCCGCCCAGCTCGGCTGGATGCTCCGACACACAGCTTCGTAATCGCGGAACTTTTGACTGTCTTCCACCAGCCCGGGTGTGGTCCAGAACATGGTCCAGTTGCTGTCTGACAGCTTCCAGGTCCCCTGGGATCGCTCAAAGTACCATTTGTTCACCGGGTTATCCTTTCGGCTGCGCCAACACACCCCCGATGGGAAACACGTCCGCAGCATCGCGTTGAAAACGACGTCTGCTACACCTCCGGCGCCTTGACTACGCTTCAAGACGGCGAACTTGTCGAGGTAGGGCACCATACGTGAGAGGCTCTCGTCGCTCCCGTCATCGACGACTCCCGGCGGGGTTTCCCATGTCAGAATCGCACCGCCTTCATACTCCCCGGCAATGATGAGGCCAGCGATGCGATCGTTGATCCGGTTGAGGTAATCGTGTACGTCGAGTTTGCGACCGAAAGAGTCCTCGATCAGGTTGACGAGACGAGGAAGGTCAATGCACGGGTCATCGAGTCGGACGCGAGGTTGCGTCCAAGCGGACCACGCCTGGACTCGGGGGTTGGGAATCATTGAAATAGGCATGCCGCGTTTCACAAACGTAGTCGGGAAGGTCAGTTTGCTGAGCATATCTGGCGACGATCTAAAAAGTCCTCGCCTGCTGACGGGAAGAGAGGAAGACAGTATGGGTTTGTCGGTGAGCAGGTTGTGGATGAGCGGGTTTCTCTGTCGGCGGGTGCCCACGGCCGACAGCTCTGGCATTGCCGAGTGTGTTTGTGCAGAGCTCGACACTTCTTTCGGGGAAGTGATGATTCCCGACGATGTGGATGGCAACATGGATAGGGCCCGTTGGGACAAGCGCAGGTTTTCCAGGTGGCCATCGAGGGTAGAATTATACTCCTCCACAGCTTGATGATCACCAAGATGTAGAGGGGTGGGTACAGCATTCGCGCTAACCGGTTGGGATAGAGGGTTGCTGTCTGGGATAGAGACGCTGGGCTTGTCCTTGGCTAGCTCACCCTTCTCTGCCTTGGTTTGTCTTTTGGCTCCCTGGAGCTCGTCCCGGACGTCTTCAAACTCCTGCTCCATGTTGAGAAAGACATGCGACTGGTGTGTGCCGCTGAGCGCTGGAATGCCGCCCAACGGGTCCAAGATAATCACCCGGTCCAGAGACACTTCCCTTTGCAAGCTTTGAATCTTCTGAGCAGTTAACATGGGATCCTCGTCAGGATCGGGATGTACCCCAAGCCCAGCAAATTCCTTGGTGAGCGCCAGCATAACATCATTGGCAGGCACAATCTCAGCCCTCGAGAAATCTTTCATGTATGCGATCGGGCTGATGAGAGTCACCTGTCCGTTCCGAAGCGGGCTCAGCAGTGGCTTGCGGGAGAATATCTTCGGCAATGTCTGGCCCGCAGTATGATTGAGGGCGAGCAGTGAATCGAGATGGCATGCTCTCGAGTGGGGCTGGCCATCGACTGCCCGAGAGATTCGATCAGCCTGCTCAGTGACCAATTTACGCGAAGCCAAGAAAGAACCCGTCTGCGTTCCGGGGTCAATCACCACACAACACGACATGCCCAGGCGAGTCAGCTGGGATAGTGTCTTTGCAACGCCATCGATTGTATAGTCTTCTAGCATCTGAGGCTTTGCGATTTTGACAAGAGCCAAGTGTAGTCTCTCGAACGGCTCTCCGTTGGGTTGGGTGGGCGCTGGATCCACCCTGAACACCGGGCTGTCATAGACAGATCTCGAGGCGCCATAAAAGGCTCCATTATATGTCACGCCAGGATTCGCACGGGACGCGGGATGCGATGATTCTGGCGGTGCGGTTGTGATCGCTGTCGACGGCGGTTGAGCGGCGGTTCCCCCGGCTTTCTTCGGATCGGCCTTGAAGCGCGCGAGGTACTGTTTGGCCTCTCGTTTGGTCGATGCGGAATTGAGAAGACTGAGGAAAAAGTCCTTTATCGTCGCCGCGTGATTAGCTCATCGAAAAAGAATACCAAGGGCACACAATGAACAGTCGTCATACCCGGTCAAGGAGCTTCTCCTTTGCTCGACGGCCAAGTCTTTCATGCATATTTCATTGCCAGTGGTGGCCACATCCACCACCGTCAAAAATATACGTCAGAAAACGAGGGGAAAGAGGTCTCTTAAACCAAACTCTCCACAAAAACCCCCTCGAGGGACAGATTCATGGCGAGGATAAATGCCTGGGAACGTGCGTAGGCCTGGGCGGGGGGACAAGAACTCGCTTCTTGACGGTGAGTCCCAGGGCGGACAGATACTGCGGGCAGATCCCACGTTTTTATGACGCTGCTTGTTCACCGCCTTGGTCGTCGATAAGACGTTGATCTGCAAGGACTGGGTACCGTTATTATTTACGACTTTACCACTTACTACTGGGCGTCTTTCAGATGCGGTGATTATTAGCCATTCATTCTCTCTTGCAATGGAAAGGCCGGCTCGGGGATTCTCCCTCAGGGTGATCTGACTCAGTGATTGAGGTGTGCAGTTCAATTCTACTCAAGGCAGGCACAAGCATTTGCCGAGGAACCACCAGCTGGTCTGTTATCGGTACTGACTCTCTATCAAGTAGGTCGGTTGGCTCAAATAAATACCCCTCGAAGGTCGGTCTCGCAGTTGAGGACAAGGGAGGTAACGATGGGTATAAATCTAGCAAAGACAGGTCATCGGACAAATGATTCATCTGAAACAGGGAGAAATGGCTCAATTCTGAGCCCTGGGACTTGACAGCTCACATCGATGCTGGCAGAGGAGAAAAGAGTCTTCCGATAGCTCTCATCTGCTCGCGTTCATCTTCTAACTACTCTACTAAACAACAGGTTTACTTGGGAATAAGCATGCTCAACACTCATTTGTTAGAACTACGTATCTTTATTCGAAATATGTCGAGGTAAGCAAGAGCAGATGAATTCATGGTAATTTAAGGTGTAATTCTTACCCTTGCCTGATCACAGCGCCTCTCAGAGTGTATTGTATATAGATCATCACCGAGGCAAGTGGTTTCTTACTATTCGAGGCTGCCTGCTTCGGCGCAGCAGATGAAGAAGAAAAAATTAGATCTAATGCCTTGACCTTGCAAGGCTGTGGATGTCTCGGTTAATGACAAATGATGATCTATTGATGAGGGCTTAAATAATATAAAATGGTCATATTCACGGCTCTGAAGCTTAAGCTATATATAATAGAGAAGTCCTAGTCTTGGGGAAAATGGAGTTGATCAGTATTTATAGAGCACTCTCTTTATTCTAGTATTATTTAATTGAGAAACGAAAACAAATAATAGATGAGATAACTATTCTCGATACTAAATACCTCTACGTATCTGGTAGTTATTGATACGCTAGACTTGACCCACCAAAGAATCACTTTATCTTGAGCGGGGGCATTTATTTCCCTTTCCCACGCTCTCCTCCACGCTGCCTCGTCGCAGCAACCTTCCAGACCCTTTCTCTAGAGTATCGCCACTCACCATGGTTAGAGGCAGTTGTCGCCATGTCCGACGGTCAGGCAACGGAGACCCCAACCTCAGAATCCAGGAAGGCAAAGCGTCCTCGGACGACGGACGAATCTCGCAAACGGACCGCTAGAGCGTACGTCTAGACATTCACGGTGGCTACCTTTCCATTATTTACCCCAATAGCTCTGGAGTACCTATCAAGGTGCCTAAGTTGAGTCCCTGAACTCTGATCTGGGTCACTACAGGTGTATCACTTGTCGCAAGCTGAAAGACAAATGCGAGGGCGGTATACCCTGTCGACGGTGCATTCGACTCCGACGCCCCTGCCATATCGACCCACCGCCAAACAATAATAGCACACTGGAGGAAGGGCAAGACACGGGAGTCAAAAACGGAACCCGGCAGCCGGGCTCGCCGAAGAGTCATGGTCAAGAGAGAGTCCATTATCTGGAGGAAATAGCCCGTCACTTCCTGGGAGATGTCTCTCTGGACACCGAGAACCTCCGATCGATTGCCGAGAAACTCAAGGACCGTCGCTCCGAGCCATTGTATGGGAGTCCTGGGTTTTCTGACACGCTGGAGGAGGAGCTGAGTATGGACCATGAGACCTTCGCGGTCAACACATTGTCGAACAATACTGCGCGTGGGCTTCCCTCCCCCCGTTACGTGGGCAATTTTCACTTGCATGGCTTGTGTCTGATCTCTGGCAGATTACTCTGGCGATTTCTCACATTGGAACTTCTCGCAAAAGATCCATCGAAGGCTGAGACAGCAGCTGAACGACGGTGACCCCAAGGTGTGTGAACGGGCACCTTGGCCTTGTCCCAATCTCCAAATCTGGGGGCTAATGTAGGGAATGAGAAGCACCTGAGCCCGCTCGAGTACTGGAGGGCCACTCATCTGCAGCTACCACCTGCTGTGGTTTCAAGTTCCATCTCCTTCCTACCACCCTTGCCTATTGCCGAGTTTCTTACGGAGATCTTCTTCAAATATGTCCAGAACAATTATTTTTTCGTGGAGGAGACCTGGCTCAAGGGGAAGTTGAAGGTCTGTTACGAGCAACCGTCCGAGGTGTCGGCCAGCGATGCTAGCTGGGTCTGTTCGGTGTTGATGATTCTGGCCATTGGCACCCAATTTGCGCACATGGAAGCCCAAGATTCTGGGCCCTTGGCCGAAGATCTGAGCTTCTGCTCCGAGGACAACGTGGGCATCACCTTCTACCATACGGCTTGTCGGCTAATTCCGGATGTCATCACACTTGCCTCGCTGGAAAGTGTTCAGGCGTGCTTGTTGCTTGCGGAGTATACGCTGCCCTTGGATACTCATGGGCTGGCATACACATACCTCGGCCTTGCGATCAAAATGGCAATCCAGAATGGGATGCATCGAAAATACACCGGCAATGGCTTCGATGAGAGGACCATTGAGACGCGCAATCGATTATGGTGGACGTCTTACAGCCTGGAGAGGTAGGTAGCACAACTCTTCCTACGACTTGTTCAGTTGAGTCCATTCAGTTGCTAAATCCAGTTATAGACGGATCAGTGTCATGCATGGAAGGCCAGCTTCACTCTGTCAGTCTGAAACCGATGCAGATTTCCCTCGAAATACGTTCCCTAATAGCCCTGGTCGCCCTTCTAACTTTCAGAATATGGCTGCCTCCATCCAGCTCCATGTTCGGCTGGGAGACATTGCGACCACAATGTATGTGGATCTGTCAGATCGAATATCCCGAGAGAGTGGGTGCTGATTGTGTCAATCCAGAAAACTGCTGAGAAAATGTCCGAAGCGATTAAAAGACGAGTACTTTGGCCGCATGCTGCAGATTAGAGAGCGCCTTTTCGAATGGTGGATCACATTGCCGGACAAGATTGACTGTCGAGACCTCAATCCCGAAGGACCGCTATTCCGACACAACTGCCACCTGACGCTCTGCTTTCTTCTCTGCAAAATCTACATGGGCCGGCCCTTTCTTTTTTGCAACGTCAGACCAGACGAACCTGGCACCGTGCCCAGTCGGGTCGCCCCACAATCGCTGCTGGTGAAGGACTGTGTCGAGAGCGCCTTAGAAATCGTGAACCTCCTTCAATTCATCCAGGACCATTGCGGCCTATGTCGAGCGTCGTACACCGAGTTCAGCTCCTGCCGCGTGGCTCTCCTGGTGATCATCGCACAGAGCATCAACAAGCGCACAAAACAACTGCGCGACGCCTCCACACAGGGGATGAAACTCATCAAGCTCATGACGGGGGGTATGTCCACGTACGCAGAGCTGTCCCTGATCGAATCGCTGCAGGCGGCGATGAATTACCTGGACTCCCAGGCCCAGCCTGGAGCCGGGGCGGAGACCGAGAGAGCAGAGTCCGGGTACGACCGATTCAAAAGCTGGGCCCGGTTCTGGAAGCAGCCGTCGAGTGGCTTGGAGACCACCTTCAGCCCTCAGTCGACGTCGCCCACGCTGCCAGATGGCGATGGTCTAGCTCTTCGAGACCCGAATGCCCCGTTCACGCACAGTCCTCAGACAGCAGGCGTCTACCCGGACGCCTTTCAGTTCGCCTTATCTCAGGACCCGGACTTTATCCCATTTTCCAACTGAGACAGGACTAAGCACTTGGATCAAGGACTTCTACATAAGTACTAGGTAGCTAATCAACTATTACTCTTTCGGAGTCTTCCTGAAGAATGAATTTGGCATGATACCAATTGTTAATTAGTGATTGTGTGCGCCCGCTATATATAATAGAACCTTAGTTGACTTTATTACTACATATTTCGTAGGAGAAAGCTAAGGTAGGTAAAACTTGAATGCCTTGTCGCCTTGTCGCCTTATTGCCTGAGGCCACTAACCACCCCGCGTTGCCCCTTCCTATTGCGAAGTTGCAATGCCGAAAGCGACTGCTCACATCCCGCTTTTCGCCTCTCTTTTTTCCCTCCTCCGTCCGTACCCGAGCGTGAGAGAAGCAAGTCCATCCACCCAACGTGTGCTGCAGAGGGTATTAGGTACCCTACTTCCTGCTGTCTTGTATCCCTCTCGGCGCCGACTCTTACTGGCGCTCGTGTCTCCTCCAGTCGGCTGTCTTGTCCGCTGTCGCAGATTTCGTGGTCTCCCTGTCCCGTGCGACGACGCACCAGCCCGTGGCCGCGCCCGAAACTCCCAGCCCTTTGTTTTAGACCTGGATCCCTGACCAGTATGTGGAACCTACTAACTTCAGGGCTTTGGATCGCTTGCAGCATATTGACGAATCTCCACCCCCTTCCTAGACTCTCGAGGCGTCCGGTCAGGCCCTCGATCGTCCCGCGCCACCAACCAGGTCATCTTCCGCCCCTCCCCGACCTCGCACCTGCAGCACTCAGCCCCGAGTCGGCCACGAACCTCTCTCAAACCAGGATCCTCGCTTGCTTTCCCTCATACCTTGGAGGAAGGAACAATACACTTCCTCTGTTGCCTCGATGTCTGATCCGACCGACCGCCCGTCTGAGACCATGAATGAACCCGCCGAGTTCAACGATGCGGCTCCCCAGGTGGAGGAGCTTTCACTCCCCCCCGAGCACGACTATTCCCGGTTGTCTGAACGTGCGGCGTTTACGATCGATGCAGGAATGCAGCTCGAAGAGTCGGAGGAAGATGAGGAGATTGACGAAGACTATGTCGCGGTAGATAACGACGATATGAACGACCTGTCATACTGGTTCCGCCGTCCTCCCGTGCGCCAGCGGACCAAGCTGGATGAACTGTATCCTTTCGTCCAGGTGCTCACTCTGTCCAATGTTGAGGATTGTGTCATTGTTGAGAGTGCTTTCCCGGAACATGAGCGCTGCTCGGAAGAAAAGGTCTATCTCCACATCGGATCATTGATCCGTATAGAGTACCCATGTTTTGTTCTATTGCTGACCCTTGTTAGTTCAAATACCGTCTCACCAAATGTCCGGAGCTTAGTCTGGGAATGTTCACCCTTCCGCTTATGAAAGAGGGCCAACCAAAGCCCCGTCCTACGCTGGTCGCACATGTGATCGCCACCCGCACATCAGCTTCGCGAGTCACTGATAGATCGATGCAGCTCCCGCCCAACTGGCAGTCTGAACGTTTGAGTTTTGAAAAGGACCAGCCGATCGGCCATGAGGAAAGTGGTGGTACCGTCTGTATCCACTCGCTGGCCGTCCTCCCAGAACATCAGGGCAAGCAGGTTGGCAGTACGCTCATGAAATCCTACATCCAACGCATCCGGGAAGCCATGATCGCGGATCGCCTAGCGATCATCGCCCATGATCACCTCATCCCCTTCTACGAGTCGCTGGGATTTGAGAATAAGGGCCCGAGTGCATGCCAATTTGGCGGCGGCGGTTGGTTCGACATGGTCAGTTCTTTCTTTCTTGCGGTTCACTAGCGAATTCAAGGCTAACAATGTTCGTCTCTAGATTCTGGAGTTGTCGATAGAGGAGTGATAAAAGCTCTAGATCTTTTTTCTGTTCTCTGGCATCCGAACCTGTCTCTCGCTCTCAACCTCTTGGTTCCACGCCTTTTTTCCCCCTTCTAGTTTTTCTTTTCTTTCCTTTGATTTTTTTGGGACGTACTCGGCGTGATTGCAATCAGAAAAAGCAACGGAGTTTTGTTACGGGCTAGGATATTCTTTGGTCATTCATGATGGAATTGATGGAATATGGTCACTTACGGTGGGCGGCTGGGTTTGATTAAGGCAGCTCTGTTTTGTGTACCATAGCCGATCCACATATATACGCGCCACGAGAGGGTAATGGATGAGTCGACATGACAGTATGCTGCAGAATGTCTGTTATTCTATTGTTTGTACAACTAAACAAATCTATCTCTCCATCACCATAACTATCACTATCTTTTTTTCTTTTTTGCTTTTTTTCCTCTCGGCTACACTTGCTTCCCCACATCCCTCACCGCCCGGGAAAAACTGCCTCCCGCCGAGTGGGATTTTTTTCGTCCGCGACGGGCGGCGAAGGCCAAAACAGGCGATTTTTCACCCTCCTGCAACAACCTTCCTTCTGTTTGTCTGTCTCGAGAGTCCGTCCGCTTGTGAGACGCTCGTTACTGTCGCCCATCATGAAGACGACATGGAAAGATGTGAGTGGCTGCTTTTGTCAACCGCCGTGAAGATGCCAAAAAAAAAAAATTTCTGTGGCCCGATCGGTTTGGCTGATTTCACCGCTTGATTAGATCGCTCCTGTGCCTACGAGCCAGGAGTTCCTCGACATCGTCCTCAGCAGGACGCAGAGACAGCTTCCTACGCAGATTCGCGCGGGATTTAAGATCAGTCGAATTAGAGGTATGTTGTGGCCCTCCCCGGATGCCATCGATCGGTGTGGAAAGATGCTCGCGATAATGTTGCCTGAAACCCGATATGGCCTGAAAATACCTTGCTAACTCTGTTGCTATAGGTTTCTATACTCGCAAGGTCAAATATACCCAGGAGACGTTCTGTGAAAAGTTCCAGGCTATTCTCGATGGCTTCCCGCGGTTGCAAGATATTCATCCGTTCCGTACGTCTTCCTGACCAACCAAGTATGGGAAACAAAAGCTGACTTTGGGCAGACAAGGATTTGATGAACACGCTTTACGATGCCGACCACTTCCGAATCGCCCTGGGTCAAGTCTCGACCGCGAAACACCTGATCGAAACCGTGTCCCGCGATTACGTGCGTCTCATTAAATATGCGCAGTCGCTGTTCCAGTGCAAGCAGCTCAAGCGCGCTGCGCTGGGTCGCATGGCCACCATCTGCAGACGTCTCAAGGATCCTCTCGTCTATTTGGAACAGGTCCGCCAGCACTTGGGCCGTCTGCCTGCTATTGATCCCAACACCCGGACTCTCCTGATCTGCGGGTACCCCAATGTTGGAAAGTCCAGCTTCTTGCGCAGCATCACTCGCGCCGATGTCGATGTGCAGCCGTACGCCTTCACCACCAAGAGCTTGTTTGTCGGCCACTTCGACTACAAGTACCTGCGCTTCCAGGCTATTGATACCCCGGGAATTCTGGACCACCCTCTGGAGGAGATGAACACCATCGAGATGCAGTCGATTACTGCCATCGCCCACTTGCGCTCCGCCATTCTCTACTTCATGGATTTGTCGGAGCAGTGCGGGTATTCCGTTCCGGATCAGATCAAGCTGTTCCACAGCATCAAGCCTCTCTTCTCCAATAAGATTGTGTTCCTCGTGGTCAACAAGATCGACGTGAGACGCCCCGAGGACCTGGAACCAGAACTTCAGGAGCAGCTGCAGACGATCCTGAAGGCCAGTGACGTTGAGCTGCTGCAGCTGTCTTGCACCACCACTGAGGGTGTGACAGCTGTGAAGAACGCCGCGTGCGATAAGTTACTAGCGGAGAGAGTGGCCCAGAAGCTCAAGTCGGGAACCAACACCTCCGGCACCACTGGCGGACGTCTGGGCGATGTTCTTGCTCGAATCCACGTCGCTCAGCCGATGGGCGGCGTGCGCGAGACCTTCATCCCCGAGGCAGTGAAGAACCTCAAGAAATACGACAAGAGCGACCCGGAGCGGAGGAAGCTGGAGCGCGATATCGAGGAGGAGAATGGTGGTGCTGGTGTCTACAACATCGATCTCAAGAAGAGCTACGATCTGGCGGACGACGAATGGAAGCACGACAAGATTCCCGAGGTGTGGAACGGCAAGAACATCTACGACTTTGTCGACCCGGACATCGAGGCCAAGCTGGCTGCTCTGGAGGAGGAGGAGGAGAAGCTCGAGGCCGACGGGTACTACGACTCGGACGAGAGCGTGGAGGATGTCGAGGACGCGGAGATCCGCGTCAAGGCAGACATGATCCGCGAGAAGCGCGTTCTCATGCGCAACGAGGCCAAGCTCCGCAAGTCGCTCAAGAACCGCGCGGCCATCCCGCGCAGTGCCAAGTCCAAGAAACTGTCCGAGATGGAGGCTGCCCTGGACTCGGCCGGCTACGACGTCGACGCGGCCTCGTCCCGCGCCCGATCCCAGAGCCAGGCGCCCCGCGGTCGGACAACGACGCGCAGCGAGATCGACAACACCGACGCCATGGACATCGACAACAACGACCCCCGTGCGGCGATTGCTCGTGCCAAGAGCCGTGCGCGCAGCCAGGCGGCCACCAACCGTCTGGTGGACGGTGTCACGGACACGACGTCGCGCTCCAAGGCCGAGCGTCTCGCCAAGCTGGGCCAGAAGAAGATGAATCGCATGGCCAGACAGGGAGAGGCAGACAGACACACCACCGCCTCTCTTCCCAAGCATTTGGTAAGCCTCTCTTTTAGCTTACTTATATCATTATATTATGTCCCACTAACCCTACTAGTTCGCCGGCAAGCGCTCCATCGGCAAGACCCAGCGTCGTTAGAAAAAGTCTTCTTGTGCTTTTCCTTTCACCATCATCATCATGACGACGCGATGAGGTCCGTTCCATTTCTACTAATCGACTGGTTTTGGTCCCGGTTCTCGAAAAAACGGCGTTTGGTGTCTTTTTCCCTGTCTATATCTTCGTCTCATATACAGTCTGCTAGATGCCTCTTTCCTTAGGATGAATAGAATCAGATTGAAAGCACATTGTCTTTACTGTAGTATCTAGTGTCATAATTCTCTCTCTCTCTCTCTCTCCCCCCCCCCTCTCTCTCTCTATGTTCAAGTGCACACTACGCTGACCAGTTTAGATGTAAGTTGATTCATTTGAAGTCGATTCATTTATAAGTGATCTATCTGTTGCTCTCTAAACAACGAGGTTCAATGAATGCCAAAGGAGTGATAGAGCTACTACCCAAACACCGACATTATGATATGCAAGATGCAATCGCCTAGCTTTTCGACAGAAAAGGGGAAAAGAAGAATATACAAAGATACTAATAAGGTATATGCTGAAACTGAGAGGGGGATGAAGAAGGAAGAAGGAAGGAGTAAGGGGTTATTACTCCTTGATCTCGGTCTCGTTATGGTGCTCGCTCTGACCCGAGGCGTGCTCCTTGGAGTTATCTGGAGTGGAAGGGGCTGCGGAGTGCATATCGTGGACGATTCCCTCCGGGGGAACCCACGAGCTGGACTTCCAGGGCTTGACGTGCAGGACGTACATGGTATCGACTTCCTCGAGGGTGCGGCCCTGGGTCTCGTTGACGAAGAAGAAGACGACGAGGACGGCGACGAAGCAGAAGGCGGCGAAGATGTAGCCGTAGCGGAACTCGATGGCGCTGACGATGAAGGGGGTGAAGAAGGAGATGAGGAAGTTCCAGGTCCAGTTGGCGGCGGTGGCCATGCCGATGCAGGCGGCACGGTAGCGGGCGGGATAGAGCTCACCGCAGATGGCCCAGACGATGGGACCCCAGGTGGTGGCGAAGCCGACGATGAAGAAGCAGGTGAAGACGATCATGGCCTTGCCAGCGGCGGGGGTGCTTTGCGGGTCGTCCAGGTCGAGAGCAAAGGCGCCGATGGAGGCGAAGATCATGAAGCAGATGAACATCCAGCCGGCACCGGTCATGAGAGCCTTGCGACGACCCCAGTTCTCGACGACCCAGAGGCCCGGGAGGGTCATGAAGAAGTTGACGGCGCCCATGATGATCTGGGTGATGTAGCTGTTGCTGATACCCGTGGACTTGAAGATGGTGTTGCCGTAGTAGAAGATGAAGTTGGCGCCGGTGAGCTGCTGGAGCGACTGCAGAGCAATTCCGAGCAGGACACGGTACAGCATGCGGGGCCCGGTGAAGATCTCAAACAGCGAGGCGGCACCCGCGGCCTTCTCCTCCTCGAGCTTATCCTTCATGTCCTTCATCTCCTGGGCGACGACGCGGTGGTTGGGAGGGACACCGTACAGCTTGCACATCACCTGGCGGGCCTCCTCGACGCGACCCTGACGGTAGGCGTAACGGGGCGACTCGGGGAGGAACAGGGTGCCGACGGCGAGGATCAAAGGCCAGGCGAAACCGATGCCCATGGTGATGCGCCACGAGGCGGTGGACTGGATTCTCTCGGTGCCGAAGTTGATGATGTAAGAGATGAAGATGCCAAAGGCAACAAACAGCTGGAAGGCACTGTTGACGTTAATGAATGCTGGTGACACCAGCGAATGGAGGAAGAAAGCCTACCTGACTATCGTGCCGCGAATCTGGCGAGGAGCAGACTCGCTCTGATACATGGGCACCACACTGGAGAGCCCGCCGACGCCCAGACCGGCAACCCAACGGCCCATGGCGACCTGGTACCACTTGGTATCGGTGGTGATCTGGATAATAATGCCGACGATGTGAATGATGGACCAGAAGGACATGGAGAACTTGCGGCCCATGCGATCAGCGATGGGGGCAGCCACCAGGGCACCGATCATGGTTCCGATACTGAGCTGCGAGACGTTAGCAAAACCCAACGGTTGAGACATCACCCAGGCAAACATACCAGACCGACGATCAAGCCACTCCGCACGTTGCTGAAGGAATATGAGTCCGACTCGGCGTTATACTGTCCGAATCGCATGAGGAAATCGTCCATGGTCTCGAAGCCGGAGATTTGACCTAGTACAGCTGTCAGTAAACAATGACGCATTTTCTCCTTCTTCTTCTTCTTCTTCTTCTTCTTCTTCTTCTTCTTCTTACCAGTTGAGTAACCGAAGATGAAGCCGCCCATAGAGGCAACGACACCGAGAGTGAACGAGCGCCATGTCAGGTAAGGGACGGGGCTGTCGTCCAGCGTCACGCCGTCCTTTTCCACGGTGGAATCCGACCTCACGGGAGTGGGAGCATCAGAGTGCTCCTGCTGCTCCGTATGCTTGAACTTGTTTAAGAATCCCATTGTTCTGTCGAAGTGAAGAATAGGGAAATCGGGGATGAAGGGGGGGGAAGAGTGAGGAAGGGAGGGCGAGGAAAGTGCGGGCGGTCCACAACTTATACGCGCAGGGCAGTCTGCCCTTGGGGTACCGAAAGATTCCAACGGGGGCCCGGATATGGTGTGCCCTGTTTGTCCGGGAAGAAGCGGGTGAGAAAATTCCAAGTCATGGGGCAGGATAGAATCCGCCCCTGATGGCCATTGATGTCGAGGATTGTTCGATGAAAAATGGGTCCATTCAGGTACGCAGCCAAAGGCCCGGTGGAGATATGCTTCTGATGTCACAAATTACATTACTACTGCTACTATTACATTACTACTGCTACTATTACATTACTACTGCTGCTGCTGCTGCTACTACTACTACTACTACTACTACTACTACTACACTACTATACTGTTAGACCAAGTACTGCTGTACTCTAGGTACTCTAGGTAGTCACTCGTACAACATGCGAACCCAGTGACGACCTACAATTCATCGCCACTGCTCGAAACCTTTGAGGTTCAGAGATGTCACGTCATCATCGTCAGTTCCTACATGAACTGACCAGCAGATTCTTCTTAGAACACTGAACCACTGTTTGAATCAGATGGTACAGGTACGACGACTGCCGACAAGTACCTGAGGTGGCACTGCAAGAAACCATTACAGAAGGTTCCGGCCAGACCCACCGCTGTGAGCTGCTGAATGCGAACAGAACCATTTTTTTTCTATTTTTTCCTCGGCTGGCTCGAGCCGTAGTTCGAGGCAGATCACCGTGGGTGGCAATGCCGAACCTCCGAGTTCCGAAAGTTCGGCAAGTTACCTAATGACTACTATACAGTATATAGGGAGTATATAGTGAGTATATAGTGAGTATACAGTGAGTATAGAGTATACAGTAGTATACAACATCTAAATAAAAGCAAGTGCCAGCTCGGACTCCCTGTTCCTTAAATAATAATCCAGGAATCATCCTGCACACACGAGGAAAAGTCGTCGCCGGTGATACGTGGACGGACTCGGGTCCATCGGCATCGACTCGGCCTGTCCGTGGATCCTTTCTCGGTACGCCAGCCAATCACACGCTCGGGATTGTGTTCGGCGTGCCGGCCGCTGAAATTTTTGCACCGGCTTTCCATTGTGGCTCACCGATACACTCTATACAGGTACTTTACTATTACCTTACTACCTACTACTACCTACTTAGTACCTAGTAGTATACTAGGTACTCTATTACTATACTATTACTACCTATACTACTATACTATACTACTATACTACACAACAACTACACTACAACTATACTACTATACTACGCTACTACTATACTACTATACTAGAGGTACTATTGACTCCTGCAGACTTGAATATGATAATACTACTTTCAACCTCAAGTCATGACGTTGTATCACGCCACTCGCTGATCGTTGAGGCCCATCCGACCCACCAGAATCCACCAGGTACGTGTTTGGTAGCTGTGCTCGCCTCACTGACCATCGTTGATCCCTCGGAACCTGCCCGTCCACTACTGCATCCGAGGATTGGACTCTTATTTTCGAGCTGCTCGGTTTAGCTTTCGGTGAGACTGGATTGCATGTACATTATTTATGTAGATATTTATTGAGTAATACTACCCTACAGCTTACGGTATGTACGGAATATCTTATAACAGTACGTTACCTAGGTTCCTACCTACTAACCTAGTAGTACGTATTGACTGAAAATTATACCAACCTAGTTCGTATTGACTGAAAATCAGATAGACCAAGTTGGAAGTTTGGGGATACTGGTAATGACTCGGGTCAGGTATAGTCGGAGATTTCTCGGAGTCAGCAATATTCTAGGTACTAGGTAGACATGAATTATTTGAAAACTCATGCTATGAGTATGGCACCACCAGAAGGAAAGACCGTAGACTAGAAGCTAAGTACTCTTCTTTGCGTTCTCACGCTCCGCCTTGCGCAGGGCGCGCTTGCGAATCGCTTCATGGAACCCCCTGTTCTGGCCGATGACAAACTTGTTCATGACGCCCGTCACGCAGGTCAGGAACCAGGCCATCAGACCGTGGCTCCAGTACGGCGACGAGGTGTAGGCATACGAAGGGGAGCCGCCGTTGCGGCCGATCTTGGCCAGGGTGGCCTGGACAAAGGCGCGCGGGGTAGGGATCGTAGCGGAGGCACGGCGGATCTTGGACATGGCGGAGGTGATGAGGTAGGCCTGGACCAGCTCGACGGTGACGCCGTAGGGCTCGAGCTCGGAGCCCAGCGACGAGGACCACATCTGCAGGAATCCCTTGCTGCCGGAGTAAGTGGCCAGCAGCGGGGTGGGGAGCAGGGCGGAGAACGAGCCGAGCGTCAGGATGAGCCCGCGCTTGCGCTGCATCATGCCCGGCACCACGAGCTGCGTCACCCGCAGCGTGCCCGTGCAGTTGACCGTGATGATGTCCTTCATTTCCTCCTCGGGCGTCAACGCGAACGGCGTCGGGATGCTGTGGCTCTTGCCCACGTTGTTGACCAGGATCGCCACGTCCAGCTCCTCCACCGCCGCCTTCAGTTTCTCGTAGTCGCCCTCGTCGTCGCGCGCAAAGTCCATGGCCAGCGTCCGCGTCTGCACCGACGGTGACTTGCCTCCAATCTCCTCCGCTAGATCCGCCAGCTTCGACGCAGTCCGCGACACAAGCAGCACGTTGAAGTTGGCCCGCGCGAGCTGCAGCGCGAATTCCTTGCCCAGTCCATCAGAGGCTCCTGTCACCACCGCCCAACTGCCTTTGGGGCCGAATGAGCGTAGCTGGATGGTCAGCAAGGAGTTTCTCAACAGCAATAGAAGAAAATAGTTGAACAATAGTAAAACACTTACCGGCTTCCCCGGAAGCACAAACAGGCTCAGAATAACCCGGACAAAAGTCAAGAAATGTGACGCGATATACAACCCCCCCGTGGCAAGCAAGACAACCGCACCCACGGTCTGCAGCCCGGGCGCCAGCTCCAGCTGCCACTTGGACAGACACTCGGTGTGTCGAGACAGAAAATCCATGTCTTGAATGTCTTGTGAATTAAACCCCGTCGTGTCGTGTCGTGTCGAAGTTGTACTGCAGAAACAAAACACGAGTTTTGTTGGGGTCTACTCTCACCGCCAAGACAAGTCCCTAACAGGGACAGGGACCCAACAGACACAGACAGACACAGACACAAACAGCTCTACAAGACTACGTACTACTACAATGGAGCAGCTTGTCGAGTACCTCCCTCAAGGACCGGGCATCCTGCCCAAATGGCTATTTTTCGTACGTACTGCTTACGAGGGGGAAAAAGCGCAGCTGAGTTAACGGGATCAGGTCTCTGTCGTGTCCGCCGCCAGCACGCTCTCCGCGTACGCGAACCCCTCCTACGTCGCCGAGCTGTATAACGGGCGTACCTCGCAGGGCGAGTCGTACACCAACGCCTTCTCCGGGCGGGTGTTTGGGACGTGGAACCTGGTTTCGTGCGTGGTGCGCATGTACGCCGCGTACAACATCGCCGAGCCGGTCGTGTACGATCTGGCCATGTGGACGTTTGGGATCGCCCTGCTGCATTTCACGGGCGAGTGGTTGATTTTCGGCACGGCGCAGCTCAAGGGCCGCTTCGTCAGTCCGATGATCGTTGCTTCGTCGTGTTTGCTTTGGATGTTTACGCAGCGCGGGGGGTACTTGGGTTGAGCTTTTGAAGAAACGCAGTTTTTATGTGTTTTCGACTTCAGCTTGATTATCAGTCTGTATTATACATTATGCCAGCTTCTTTCTGTATAGCTCTCCTCCACACTCCCGTAGTCGGGCGGCGGCTTGTTCGGGCGTGATATCCCGCTGGGGTTCACCTAGCATCTCGAAACTACAGGATTAGCAGAGGTATAATAATGGATGAAGCCCACTCGAGTACCCACCCAACGAGGAATTTGCGCACGGTGGCGCTGCGCAGGAGAGGAGGATAGAAATGCAGGTGCAGGTACGCGGCTTCGATCTCGTCGTCGCTGCCCTCCAGCGGCGCCTGGTGGATGCCCATACTGTAAGGAAAATGGGTCTCGAACAGATTATCGTACCGTCTGGTGACCTCTGCAATGGCTTCGGCCAGCATCTGTTTATCGGAGTCGTTGAGATCGACGAGGGCGCGCTTGTGTGTCTTGCTGATGATCATGGTCTCGAACGGCCAGACTGCCCACCAGGGACACACGACGAGGAAAGCCTCGTTCTCGAACACGACGCGCTCGCCCTTCTCGATCTCCAACGCCGCGTAGTCGGCGAGCATGTGTCTCCCCGCGTGCTGCCGGCGGTACTGCTTCAGCTGCTCAAACTCCGCCGCGGGCTCTTCCGGCAGCGAGCTGGTCGTCCACACCTGTCCGTGCGGGTGCGGGTTCGAACAACCCATCGCAGCACCCTTGTTCTCAAAGATCTGCATGTACCGGTACTGTTCTTTGGGTTTCGTCACGCTCACACCCGCAGACGAGGGAGGCAGCCTCGTCGCCGGCGCTGCCGCCGCCAGCGGCGACCGCGGTGACAGGTGCGCCGTGTAGATCTCCGTCCAGGCATCGATGACGGGGACAATCTCCGCGGGAGACAGATCGGCCAGGGTGAGGTTGTGTGCGGCGGAAAAGGTCAGCACGTAGCATTTGCCTGTTACCGGCTGCGCTTGGAGGAACAGCGATTCGGCGCCTAACGGTTAGCAGTTTTCCTTGACTATTTGTAACACACTCTATAAAAAGAAAAAGAAAAACACACTCCCTGCTTCATGCTCTGGTTCATACGGTGCCTGTTCCTCCTTGACGGCGCTGTAGTCGTTGACAAACACAAAGGTTCGGTCGTACTGCGGATTGCTGTCCCCCTGGGCACGCTTGTTTCCGGGACAAAGATAGCAGGCAGGGTCGTAGGCAGGGAGGGACGTTTTCGACGGACTTTCCTGCTGTCCTCTTCTTCATTAGTACCAAGCTTCTAAAAGATTATAAGGCATTCTCTTACTGCCATGGCCGTTTCGTCCGGTGGGGAGACACCAGGACGTACGACCCCCGCAAGGGATTGAATCTCCGGTGGGAGATGTCGTCGAGCACGCTTTCAACCATGATACCTAATACCTAATACCTAGGTAATCCTGACAAAGATCAACAACAGGTTCTCCTAAAATATGAGTTGGTGAGAGGCGGGGCACCGTGGGGTTCCGGGGTTTTATCTTCAGGACGGAGTACTACATACGAAGTACTACATGCTACATGACAATAATGGTACTACAATAATAATTACTACTGCTACTACATAATAGTTAATAGTTACTTTAACTACTATTAACCGATAATTGCTACTAGCGAACATATAATGGCCAATCCGGTCCCGTTTCCTCCGAAGCTGATTCCACCGCAATCCCAACGGGAATAGTTGACGGTTCATTGGGAGAAATAATGCCGGTGGAAGTGCCGAGGCAGCTGGATATTAAGCGAATCTTGACACGACTATAATAGGTTGAGTCTGAATGCATATATCTAGATTATAGGTATTATTTTCAGTGGAAATAATGATAATAAAATAGTAAGAAAAATAATGATAATAGTAATAATAATACTGAAGGAGGGGTAAAGGCGGAACCACCCGGCAGAATAGTATCTTATCGCTTTATCAGCACGTCATGAAGATTCTCAGTCTTGAAGCTGTCGACGATGAGGGGGTTCTAGAGATGTAAAGCTCTTGTGGAATCCGGATATAACCTGTTATATATAACCTGTTAAAATGATCCAAGAGGAACGACACCAGCACATCTTCTCCCTGCCAAACGAGGTACGGAGTACACTGCAGCACCACGTTGAGGCTCGAATATGCTAACTGCTAAGCTGTAGGTCTTCGTTCAAATCCTTACTCCGTTCTCCACGCGAACCCTCCTTCCTCTGGCCCGGGTATGCCACCGATTCCACGCCCTGGTGCTTCGGATCCTCCACTACCGCCTACTGACGGCCGCCTCGCTGAAAGAAGACAAACTCATCCTCGAATGCTTCCATCCAAGCTCGAAACTGACGGAACCACACGTCTTCTGTACATATCTGGGCACGGATGGGCTGGGCGATGGGTACGAGGGGGGCTCTTTATATGAGAACGTGGACCCGGCCGAGTGTCTGGGAAGACTTGGTTCTCTTTACTCTCGCTTTCGACCGGAGAACAATGAAAATGATAGTAAGTAGCATTATGTGTCGAAGATCTTGAGATACCTATTATTTCCTTTTCTTCTTAATTTAATCTAATTCACAGCTCAAGACAAAACGGTAAGGAGAATCATCAACCTAGACGACACAGAGGACTTTTCGCAACTCTGTGTCATGGCAAATCTGGTCAAGGTCCTGGCAGGAAGAAACCGGCTGCTTAGCGCCATCACCGTCGACGAAGGCATTATCCGGGTGTGGAGGGACTGGCTAAAGCGCCAGTCGACAGCAGATTCTTCACAGCCCACTGCCTCGAACGACCCTCGAGATCAGTCGATCTTATGGGTGGACAAGGGGAGAAATATCGGACTGAAAGTACGGGCCAGGGAATCCCAGACGGAGTCGCTTCCAGTCCTTGTACACCGTGATGACTTGTCAGTCACCTACGAAGTAGACATAGAGGGTATTTCTTCTTTTTCTTCTTTTTCTCTTTTTTTGTGTCTCTGATCTAACCTTTCAGAATTTTATGTCCGAACAACGCGGCTGCTATTGGCAGTGGAACAGGCTCTTGAGGAACAGAAGAACTATACCAAGGCAGTCATTTTTGGCGCCTACCCTGTATGAATGATCTACGCAGCATATGTATATAATTTGCAGAGCTCTGCTTTGCAACGTCTTATCTATAATTATATAGTAAGTATCTCTATATACAGCTGTATATGGTTTACTAGAGGCTAGGACTTGTCAATAAGTAACCTCTAATATACTATAATACTAAGAATATACCTAGTAACCTGCTATAATTCTAGTATAAATTTATAGCGATGGACTAAGGACTTGATATGATGTCATGTGACTAATCAGCTGCACGGGCCATTAAAGCAGCTGAAGGCAACCAGAATCAACATCTTCTTTATTCATTAACACACTTGATTGGATATCATACAACAGAAGACAGCCATCAGTCGGTTATTGTCGAGACGAGACTATGAAACAGGCCATGTTTCTGGCTGACATCCACCTGAATACTGACTCTCGCATTGTCTGACTTTTACGATACAATATATATTATATTAGACGTTGCAGAGCGACACTCTGCAAGATTACTGCAAATGAACTCTGGCGATAAACCATCAAGTCGACGTCGGGGCGTTCGACTGTATCACAAAAAGTCGCGCCATGGGTGTGTGCGATGCAAAGCACGGCGAGTCAAAGTACGTAAGTGGCTAGAGAGTATATCTCTCTCTCTCTATTATTGCTTATAAATTACAGTGCGATGAAGAGAAGCCAGCCTGCGGCGGTTGCACTCGCCATGCAGTGCCGTGTGTGTACAACACACCGACAGTGGTTGGACGACAAGGCCAGAATAGGGCAAAAAGCGATCAAGACAGCGAGATGTCGTCCCAGCAGGACAGTCCAGACCAAGGCAACGGCCAGACAGCAGAGGAGATGGAGGACGAGGAAATGCTGGACGTGCCGGAAAGCGAGAGCAAACGACTGCTCGAGCTGCGACTGCTGCAGAATTACCTGACGGACGTGATTGTGGACGGCGAGTCCGGATGGGGGTTCACCTCGGCGCCGAAGATGGCGCTGCAGCCGGGCAACGAGCAAAAGAACATGCTGTATGCGATGCTCTGTCTCTCGGCGATGCATCTTGACATGAAGGAGCCCGGGAACCGCCAGATGGCGGCGGCGCGGCAGACGTACCTGGGGCTGGCGCTGCGCGAGCACCGCAAGGCCGTCGCGCAACTGAGTGCGGAGAACACGCTGTCGGTGTGCTACACGTCGCTGCTGCTGCTGTCGATCGCGTTCTGCGGGCTGCGCGAGCGCCCACTGGAGCCGTACTCGTACTCGCCGCCGCTGGAATGGCTGCAGATGGGCAGCCGGGTAATCCGGGTGTTCGAGGTGATCATGGAGGGCAACCGGGACTTTGACATCAAGCAGTTGGGCCAGGTGTTTGACAGCCCGGGATGGCTGGCCGACATCAGCAAGCTTTACGTTGAGGAGAACCGCCGGGACTTTGTGCATCTCCTGCAGCCGGATCCCCTCGAGACGCAGTGGCGCGACGAGCTGGCCGACCCGGAGATCCGGCTGTCGTACGAGGAGACGCTGAGCTACATTGGCAGCGTGAACATCGCCATCCAGACGAAGCAGGCCGTGCGGGATATCTACCGCCAGCTGCTCGCGTTTGCCGTCCTGGTCCCGCACCGGTTCGTCGACCTCCTCGCCGAGCAGAGACCCCGCGCCCTGGCCATCCTGGCCCATTTCTTCGCGCTGGTCACCCACGTCGACCAGGTCTGGTTTGTCGGGGGGATCGGCCGGCGAGAGCTCCTCGCCATCCAAAAGAGCATGCCTCTCCGCTGGCAGGCCGAGTTGCGCTGGCCTTTGTCGGTGGCAGGGCTGTCGGATGCTCTTAAATAACAAGTCATACGCCAATGATGAATTAAGATATCAATACAGCCAGTCCACGGCCAAGAAGACATGAAGGTAATTCCAGCAAAACATACTGCAGACATTAGACATTACTCTCTGTTATATTCTATATATGATCATACCGATTAGCTAATATTGTAATACTTCTAGCCTCTAGGTATACTTACTGCTAATAGGCACGGAGACTCCGAGTGTAATATACTACAGTACCTAGAAGGTATGAGTAGAATCCACCCACTTACTCATAGCACAATTTAATCAACTGTTAACTATACTCCAATTGGCAAAAGCCTTTCAGCTCAATACGAAACGGCCAATCATCAAATAACGGCTCGTGTTGTTGCACGGAGTACTCCGTCAAGTGGGGAGAAAATGGGCCGGGGACCCCGAGGGTCTATTGTGTACAATAGTGTACAATAGTGTACAATAGTGTAATGATGAATGACTGATTATAGAGGATGAATAGTATAGAATGTGTTGTAAGGGTAGGAAATATAGTACTATAATTAATACTATGATATAATAGTATATTAGAGTAATAATTAATGATATAAAGTATAGTACTATTATGCTGTATCTAATTCCCCCGATCGGCACGAAATTGCCCCGACGGCGCTTCGTTAGGGATCTGTAGATCCTATCCTTTGTAGTATAGACAAGAAGGATGAATAAGATAGGAGGGTATTCGGTTATTACTATATAAGCTGTCTGATGTCTTCAAATATACACTCTACTGCTAAACACACTACTACACTACTACACTACTACACTACTACGCTCTACTCTACTACCATGGAAAAACCGACTATTGCTTTCTTCGGAGCAACTGGTGGATGCACCGTCTCCTGTCTGGCTCCGTCCTTGAACGCAGGATACCAATGCACAGCCTGTACGTCAGATCATCGAGAAAAAAAGATCAAGAACTGACGAAGAAGTGGCCCGGACACCGCAGAAACTGAAGGATCTGCTCCGTGAGCGCGGTGTCTCCGACGCAACAGTGGAAGCGTGCCTGACGATCGTGACGGGGAGCATCTCGGACGAGGAAGCGGTGCGCAAGACGCTCGTCTCACGATACGGACGCCCCGTCGGCCTGATCATCTGCGGGATTGGCGGCAAGATGGTCTTTGACAACCCGCTCAAACCCACGCTGGATAACCCGACCATCTGCCAGGACGCGATGCGCATCATCCTCGCCTCGGCGCGCGCCGTGCAAAAGGCCCAGCTGCTCGACGTCGCCGACGGCGTCAGTAACCCGAAACCACGCCTCGTCACCCTCAGCACCACGGGCATCAGCTCCACGCGCGACCTGCCCTGTCTGATGAAACCCATGTATCACTGGATGCTCAAGGTGCCCCACGACGACAAGCACGTCATGGAGACCCTGATCAAGGGCGAGATGGCCAAACCCCTCGCCGACCGCGGGATCGACAACTTTGTCATTGTGCGCCCCAGTCTGTTGACCGACGGCAAGGGCGATGGCCTGCACAAGATCAAGGCGGGCACGGCCGAGAATCCAGCCGTCGGTTATGTCATTTGCAGGAACGACGTGGGCGCTTGGCTGTTTGAGAATCTGGTCCGTGGCTTTTATGGTGAAACGTACGTCGGCCAGATTGTGACGATCACGGCATAAGATAAGAAGATACGAATATGATAATTTGCTCATGTAACCAATGACTTGCTCATCTAACCAATAATTCACCCCCCTTTCATCAAGGCAAGATGGCCGAGTTGGTCTAAGGCGCTGGAGTAAGGTTCCAGTCTCGAAAGGGGCGTGGGTTCAAATCCCACTCTTGTCATTTTTTTTTAATTTTTTTTCACTCTGAAAGATAGTTCAATTGTGTAGATCTAGATAACGATACTGATCATCTAACTAAGATAGAATGTAAAAACAGATACGCCTGCTCACAGGCCGCCCATTTCTCCCCCCGAGGATCGTGGTAGTCGATATCAAACAAGTGGCCTTCATCTTTCACCAGCGAAAGACCAGAGGGGATCTGGTTTTTGCGCAGCACGTCGTATCCTTTCTGGGCTTGCTGCCACGGCACAAAACAGTCGGCCTGTCCGTGAACAAAGTACGTCGGGGTCCGGTATCCTCCGTTCACCATGTAGGCGTACGGATTGAACAACTGGCCTTGTTCAGCTGACGGCTGGCTCATGGAGTGGTGGGAATCATCTTCTTCCCCCTTTCCAAGTCCGCGATAGAGAACCGGCAACGTCTGGCCTTGTCGGATCATATGGATTAATATCCGGGATCGAGCGTGCGAGGGATCCATCCACTCGGAGGAGGTGATCGGGTAGGATGCAACCTTGTGTCTTAGAAGAGAAGAAGAGAAGAGAGAAAGAGAACTCACTGGCCGGTCTTTGACCCCATCCATCAGATTGTAAGAGCCAATTACATCCCCGGCATGATCATTTGGTGTTTTCCAATCTAATCGTCAGCAAGACAATCACAACAGGGGTGAAATAATAAATTACATTCATCTTGGTAATCTACCGGGCAGTAGAAAGCCACCGCCGCCTCTGGAGCCTTCACTCCATGAGATGGAGCGGTCCATCCCGTAGAGAGCGCCAGCATCGCCCCCGAGGACCATCCCACGACGCCCACTTTCCCGCCGTCGAACTGAATATTACCATGTCGAGGCGTGATCCGCGGCAGCTGTCGTCTCGCCCAGACAAAGGCTTCCCCCACATCCTCGATGGGACCGTCAAGAATGCTCACTTCCGGACACAGACGATAGTCGATGCTGATCGGGAGAATGCCATGGTCCAGCAGCCAGGACACCTGTCGTGATGGAACGTCCCTTCGGGAGAGCATGATATGACCGCCGCCATGGATGAGGAGAGCTTATCCGAGTTATGAGTCAGTGAAACTCGGCACGTCCAAGAAAATGAAAGGAAAAAATAAAAAAAAAGGAACCAGAAACTAGTTACCTCCAACCAGAGACATCAAAACTCACCTACGGGCCACTTCTTCGGCGGCAAGACATCGACATCGTGGGGATAGTAGATGTCAGCGCGGAGATGGACATCATCCACCTGCTGGAAACACACTGTCTCACGCTCCAGATCATCGAGCGCCGGAAAGCCGCCTCCCAGCGCCTTGCCCACCCCCTGACCGTCGTCACCGCCGTCGTCCTCGTCGACAGGCGACTGGAACCCACACACAATTCGTCCTGTCTGAGCTTCCAGGGACCGCCCGCTGGTCTGACTCGCCTGGGTAAAGCCCGCCCTCTCCATCGCCTGATGCCACACCGCCACCGACGCCAGAGCATGCTGCCGCCCGTCACTGTGCCGCCACCACCCGTCCAGCAGGCCAAACACCAGGTCCAACCAGGGGATTCGACGTGTAAACTCGGCCAGCGCGACAAACCCGCCAGGCCGAAGCAGCTGCCGGATGTTTGCCAGCGAGCAGGCGAGGTCGCGTGTGGCGTGGACGCACAGAGTCGAGAGCACGACGTCGAAACTGCCCAGCATCTCCTGCGGTGGTGGTTTCTCGATGTCCAGCACGGCGAAACCCATCGTCACGTGGCCGCCAGCCCCGTGACCGGAACGTGACTTCTGCTGCTGCTGCTGCTGCTGCTGCTCCTTCCCAAACCTCCGTCTTGCAGCGCTCACCAGCGACGACGAGATATCGGTGAAGACGTACTCGACGGCGATGCCTGCCGCGGCCAGGCTGTCGAGCAGCCAGACTGTGGTCCCGCCTGTGCCTGCGCCGACCTCGAGAACACGCAGGGGACGAGCAGCGCCGAACTTGGCGGCCACCACGCCGACGAAGTGGGCGAGCAGCCGGCTCATCAGCAGGAACATGGGGCTGTGCGTGTACACGTCTGTGAGGAGCTGTTTGGACTGCTCGTTGCCGAACAGAGAGTGCAGCGGGTCCTCCTCGCCGGTCAGGAATTTGGCCAGCCGGGGCCCTGTCACTTGCAGCAGGCGTGTTTCGAGGCTATACGCCGGGTGCTCGCGTACGAGACGTTCGTGGAGAGTCGCGCTTGTGGGCTTGTCGAGAGGGAGAGGCCGGTCGGATCGAATATACTGCGAGCCCGTGTAGTCGACGAGCTCCCCCTCCCGCAGCAGATCGAGGAGTACTGTTCGGAGCCGGGTGTATCGGGGCTCCACCACGGGGAGGTTAGGAATGGCTTCGCCTGGAGAGAGGAGTCGGAGGTCCACCCCCATCTGCTCGAACGCTTCGAGAACGTACGCCTGCAGCAGTTGTGCCTGGAGGGGGACAATTTCTCTCCAGAAGCCGTGGCACCCGGCCTCGGTAGCCAGACCGTGGAAGGCCAGCGTTGTCTGATGGAGAGCTTTCTGTGGGGATACTCGCCAGGCGTGACCATCGCCCGGGAGTGAGATAGGGGCATTGATGGAAGACGGAGAGGAGGGGGAGGGGGAGGGGAAGCTAGAAGAAGACCAGACGGGGGAAGAGGAACCAGCGGCAGTAACGGGGAGCATACCAAGATCGCTCAGTTTTGTTTCCGGTGTGATCTCAACTGCGTCATGGCTATGCCCTTCATTCCGGAGGTCATTGGCAATCTCTATAGCCAGCAAAGAGTCGACACCAAGGTCGGCGAGCCGGCAAGACGGACTGACCGTTGGGGGGAGCTCTATATGCCGGCGTAGGAGATCCGATACGCTGTTACCCGAGGTTGCTATCGAGCTGTGCCTGGCCTCTCCCTGACCTGCTGGGAGGCTGTTTGGAGAGCCTCTGGAATCTACCACCGCGACTAAATCACCAAACGTGTCTACCTGAAGCTCCTGCTGGGAGACAGAGAGGCCAAAACTGCTGTTGATCTCGCGCTGCAGCTCCGCCGCCATCAACGAGTCGATACCCAGAGAGGCAAGATTCGACGAGGGGCTAATATTCTTAGTAGGCACATCGGTTAACGCGCTCAAAAGTTTCTGTAATTGGACTGCTGCCGTGCTGTTGGCCTGCTGCCGGTCTTGGGTCGCTGCTTTCGCCGGAGGAGACGATGGCATTGACAACAACGGCAACGACGGCGGCTTTCTAACCAATGACGAACGGCCGATCCGCCGGAACCGCAGCCTGGAGACAATAAGAACGACCTCGTGGGTGGCCTCGTCGCGGGCAAAGACATCGTATACGGCGTCATTGGCGTTAGTGTCGGTCTCGCTGGCTGTTGTGATGGCGAGCAGCTCTAGGCTACCTGTTGGCGCAGCCCCAGCCGATAGACCGTGCCACTGCACCTTTTCCATGGAAACACAGACCATCGCTGTGCCGGGCTGCCTCGTCCGCTCGAGTACAGCGTTAGCATGCAGCCCAGCAGCCTGAAAACAGGCATCGATGATGGGCAGGGTGGGTGCGCCGGTCGTTGGCCTGCTGCCGCTGGCGCACACGACCTTATCATCCAGCAAGATAGCACGACACAGTGTGCGGTAGCGTGGCTCATATTCTATAGCCGGGGACAGGAGTGTGTATATGAGGGGCTGTTGCAGGACACTCCCGTCTTCTTGCTGTTTCTTGGCTGCACCTAGGCCCATCTTGCTAAGGAGTCGCCCTGTGCGGGCGAGCTCCCCGGCGCCGTCTGGCATTGGGAGTAGCGTGACCTGTCCGTCTGCGGCAGGGATGCCAGTACTAGTTGAAGAATTGGCCGCACTTTCTCGGAATGAGAACTGCCATCTCTGCCCTCCGGATGGCCCCTTATTATCGTGTTCAAGATGGAGGGTAAGTTGTTGCTGCTTCTGCTGAGACCCGCCTAGCGGAGACCGAATACGGAATCCATCAATATGTGGCATGAGTCCTTCTGGGACAGCGTCTCGAAGCAGCTGTCGCACAGCCTGGAGGACCATGTCCAGGTATAGAGATGCTGGCAGCGTCGGTTGGCCCAGCACACGATGACCGCTCACCGCAGCCTGCCATTCGGTACTACCAGAATTGATGCGAAAGGACGAGGGCCCGAGAGGGCTCAAAAGCCGATCACTGTCGGCTTTGGGGAGACTCCCCTCATTGCTAGACGTACTGGACTCTGTGTTTAGATTCCACGGCAGCCAGTGTTTTGCCTGGTCAAACTGATAGGGCGGTAGCTGGAGCAGGGTGTAGCTGCTAGTCTGCAGCGCATGGAACGGCCAGAACGAGCCCCCGTAGCCCTGTGACCACAGCTGTGTAGTTGTATCTGCAATCGTCGACTGCTGGAGCTGTCCGGGATACAATGAATGTCGAGTGACGTCTTCCGATAGGGCCACACGCAGGGTTCCGAGAGCTTTGGTGCCGACCTCGAGCCACACGCAGGACCCCAGCCGTTGCTGGATGCGGCGGGCAGCAGCAGCAAAGAAGACTGGCTGTCGCGTGTGCGCTACCAGGGCGTCAGCCGTCAGCTGTGTAACAGCAGACTGCTCGTTTTCAGTACATGGTTCGAGCGGAATCATGGGTGGTTGGAAGGACAGGGTCTGCGCAAGTCCGTGGAGTTGGGGGAGGATAGGCTCCGTGAGCTTGGAGTGGAATCCGTGCGTGACGTCGAGGCGTTTGAATGCGACTGAATCAAACTCGTCCTGCAAAACCTTCACCAGGGCTGAAATCTCTGCTGTACTGCCCACCAGGACGTGGCTCGTGGGCCCGTTATGGCAGGCGATCTCGAGTCGACGTGGTGATGGATCGTCGACAAGAAGAATCTGCTGTACCCGTTTACAGATTGTCTCGATTACGGACTGGTCACTGTTTTGAATGCTGACCATCCCGCCTGGGTCATCCCCCCAGCTGCTATCGATGAGGGCTGCGCGGCCGCACACGAACCGTAGGCCGTCCTCGAGCGACAGGGAGCCCGAGACGACAAGCGCCACCAGCTGGCCTAGAGAATGGCCTAGCAGGCAGTCCACCCGCAGCCCACTGTCGACCCAAGCCCGTGCAGTTGCGTACTGCAGGGCGAATTGCATTGTCTGCAGGGCGAGGGCGCCGCCAGCTGTACTCGCAACAGTAGCATCGTCGTTCTCCTCCTCTAGAATTGTGGGAAAGATGCTGGGGTAGCCGAGCCGGGTCAGGGTGTTGTCGCATGCTTCCAGATGGGCGCGGAACAAGACACACGAATCAAAGAGCGAGCGAGGCACGTGTACTCGGCGAGTTGACTGGCCGCCAAAAGCTAGCACTACTGGCTGCTGTTTTTGTTCGGGCTCGGAATCGGCAAGCGATGGTGATGATGGATCGTCAACGATGCGGCGTAGCTGGACGCAGAGATCCTCGCGGCTGGAGACGGCAAAGCAGCGTCGCACAGGCAGTGTCCGGTTAGCACGGCGGTACAGGGCAAAGCACAGATCGGCCAGCGAAGCGTCACTGCTCTCAATATAATGCAGCAAAGCTGCACAGGAGCGTTGCAGACTGCTGAAAGTGTGGGCAGCGAGACAGACCGGATATCGCGGCCAGGGAGGGCATGAGCCGCTGATAGTGGCATGGCTGTCCTGTGAAACAGGGGTATACTCTTGTAGCAGGACTGCGCTGATGCTGCCCGCTGCGCCAAAGTTGTTGAGGACTGCTCGCCGCGGGCCCCCGACGACCGCTGGAGCCCAGGGCTCGAGCTGCCTGGGGATCGCCAGGCGCTGGCCGGCCAGGTTGGTAATGCGCGGGTTGATAGTGACAAGGTTCGCCTGCGGCGGGATCTGGGCGTGCCGGAGCATCAGCAGGGTCTTGATCAAGGCGGCGACGCCCGAGGCACCCTCGGCGTGGCCGATGTTAGCCTTCAGCGAGGCAAAATGGAGGGTCTGTGGGCGGTCGGCTCCCCCAAACACCTGCCGGATACCCTCGTACTCTGGGACGTCGCCGATGCGGGTACCCGTTCCATGGGCCTCGAGGTAGGTGACTTCATACGGCTCCACGCCCGCCTGGGCTAGCAGAGAGCGGTAGAGGGTCGCCTGGGAGTCGGTATGTGGGACGGTGATGTTGCGGGCACGGCTCTGGCGGACCAACGAGGCGCGGATTACACCCAAGATCGGGTGCCCGGCATCCTGAGCGGCGGCCAGAGGCATCAAGACGACAAGGCCGACGCCCTCGGCGCGCGAGTAGCCGTCCGCGGCGGCGTCAAAGGGCTTGATGCGGCCCTCGGGGCTGAGAAAGGAGGCAGCGGCCAGGTTCTGGTAGGCAAAGGGGCTTGTCAGGAGGGAGACCCCGCCGGCGAGGGCGTAGTCACAGTCACCGGCGCGCAGGGACTTACATGCCGCATCAATAGCGACGCCGGACGAGGAGCAGACGGTGTCGATGGTGAGCGAGGGGCCCGTCCAGCCGAAAAAGTGGCTGATCCGGCCACTCTGGAATCCCTTGAGGGACCCCAGTGCCGCAAAGGCGCTGGCCCGGTGACTCGCGATATTGTCGTTGTAGTCGGTTGAGAAGCCGCCGATGTAGCAGCCGACATGGCGCGAGGCATCTTCGCGGGCGAAATAACCCGCGGATTCGAGCGCCTGGTAGGCCGTCTCGAGCAGCAGGCGCTGCTGCGGGTCCATGGCGGCAGCCTCGCGGGCTGTGATGCCAAAAAACCGATTGTCAAAGGAGTCAATCGTATCTAGGAAATGGCCACGCGCGTTTCCGCCCAATTCGGCAGAGGTGCGCCAGTGGTTCGCCAGCGGGAGCCTATGCGCCGGGACGGGCCGCTCCGTTGTCCGGCCATCGCGGAGAAGGTCCCAGAAGGCGTCGGCCGAGTCGGCTCCAGGGAAGCGGCACGCCATGCCCACTACGGCAATGTCTGCAGTAGCAGGAGGCAAAGAAGGAGGCGGAGCACCACCGGCAGCAGCAGCAGCAGTAGTAGCCATCATGGAGAACAGGTGAGTGACCATAGACTCACAGGATAAACTGGGGCAGGATTCTTTCTCCGTTAATAAAGGGGTTGGTTCTGTCGCACCTGTTTTCCAACCCTTACACCCTACTTGGAGAGCAAGTGATTTTTATTAAATCTCTCAAGTAGCCATGCAGACAGATACGACAACAGGATGCATGACGGGGAGAGTCGGAATGAAGGCGATGATGACGACGACGACGACGACGACGACGACATCGATGACTATAGTATTAATTACTCCTATATATCAGGGGATAGCCATCGAGCCAACACCAGTGACGCCTCTCCTGGCTTCTTCCACCCTCCCACACAAACCTGGAAGCTGATTTCTCTTCCACCAATAAACGAGATCGACCCCGACTGTGTCCTCACCAATGGCGGCAACAGCAGACCTCCTCTGCGGCAGCTGGGAGCTTGTCGACTATCGCACCGTCATTGAGGGAGGAGACGGCAAGGAAGAAGAGAGCGTTATCTTCCCTCTCGGCCGCGACGCACAGGGAATGATCACCTACACAGCCGATGGGATCATCTCTGCGCATCTTATGAGGCCGGGGGCTCCGCCACATCTCGACACGGGCGCCCTCCACGGGGGAACGGATGAAGAACGTGCACGCTCCCTGCAACACTCGCTTGCCTATGCCGGTTTCTACAGCGTCAGCCCCCGGGAGGAAGATCCGGGCCACTTGATAGTGCGTCACCGGGTGGTCATCAGCTCGTTCCCGAACTGGCTGGGAACTGTACAGGCTCGTCTGGCTACGATCCGGCCTGCTACGAGAACCCACCTGGTGCTTGAGACGGAGAAGCCAGTGCACGTTGAGGTAAACCTATCACTTCCTTTTCTCCTCTATCACTTGCTCTTTCTCTTTTCCTTTCCTCTTTAGGCGATGAAGCTAACAATATAGGGGACATGGAGGCGCCTGATCCTTACCTGGAGGAGAATTCCGGAACCAGAAATGAGACAAAATGGTGTATCTAGAGCGAGTCGCTTGTAAGATTGCGACATGACCAGACTCAATTAATTGCAAGGAGGGGGAGGGCAGTGATCGTACGCGTCTTGTGAGCATGCACCTGCTGCATGAGATATGTTCCAAGCTCTTCTGCAGACCCTGTATCTATGAATCATTTTGCATGGTTTAATCTGCAGTACATGGCTAGTGCTATCTATTAATTATCTACTATCTACTCTGTACTACCCAGATAGAGGTTTGTCAGCTACACTCAGGGATCAGCGCCACATCTTACTTGACAGTTCTAATAGGGTCATAGCTGCATGGCAGTACATGTAATTAAGATCAAATATAACTTCAAACCGTCCAAGGGGAATTTAGTACTGCATCAAGAAAAAGCTTCTAGAATTTTATATAGTAATGAACTGGTTAACCTTCTGCCATGACCACTTGGCTCCTCTTCATAATGTGCCACTGCAATATTGGGCCGGAGATGAAATCCGCAACGTCCCCCAAGAAGTTTAGTCACCTCGTATTTAACCCTCCTTGTCAAGTCATCAGACATTTGTCTTATCCGTATCTGCAGAGCTGCTACCAGAGAAACGAACAGGGATTTCCCCCCCCCCATGGCTTAGACCAGCTTGGTGGAGTCCGAAAATGCAGCCACCCGGTTGTTTCCTTCATAGTCGACAAAGAGATTGTCGAATAAAAGATCTGCATCTTGATCTCATTCGACAAGACGTAGGTGGCGGCTTCCAGCTAATGCACGCTGATTTGACGTGTGGAACGAATGCACAATGCAGACCCCCTCGTCCGCGTTCTGCACAATTTCCGTTGGTAATCTAGAAGCTCTGCGTGCCAGTTAGATGACTCTTGTTATCTGGGGGGTGGTTTACGATGATCCATATCAAGGTCGCGGGTATTTGAGGGTTAGGAATGAAAATATCTATCAGATATTATATGCAAAAATGCTATGACTTGCAGTGTCCACTTTCTCTTTCTGGTCTTCCGCGTCAAGGAAACACAAGAAATCCCTCATCGTCCAGTGCTTTGAGCGGAGGATGGTTGATCGGGTAGAAGTGTAGCCCCCGGTTGTGGGATACCCATCGGACATCCAGTTTGAGGAGACCGATATCTTGACCTTGGCAATCCGTGATACCCTCTCGAGCATGTGTAGGCAATCTATTCCGTCTGGGCCTAGTTCTTGTCGATATTCAAGCCTTGAGATGGTACTTGTTGCCACTCCGGCTATCAATTGAATCTTTCAGATAGAGGGGCGGCTCTTAGCTAATGCGTATGGTCAGTGGTCTGCACTTGGGAGATCACAATCGGATATCACATTCGAACAGGCAGTGTAGAGCCAGAAAGAAGGATGGCGGATGCGTCTGAAGTCATTTTCACAGTTCCAAGTCTCCAATTGGTCGGACTCTTCCCACCCTGATGATGACGAAGATGATATCCCTCGGCACGAGCTGACACAGCAGAGCAAAGAGTCTGATAACCGGTTTTGTGAATAACGCTATGACTGAAAAAATTTAGTCAAGAGCTGGCCTGTTATACGATATTCTGTCAGTTCATGTTGGTCTTTCTTCCGGACATGCCGGCAATTGAACCTGCTCGTCATGGTGATGCTCAATACACTGACTGCCGACTGCTTTGATCAGAACATTCACGCAACATAGAAAGCCTCAACACAGACATCGAAAGACGAACGCCCTTGCTTAAAATAGAGAGACCAGGAAAATCTGGAGATGATGCAACGATGCTGTTTGTCTTCTGCTATAGTTAAGGCTCCGCCGCGATCTAGGATAGAACTTTGGCAGCCCTAGTTTATTGTCAGCCAACCTTGATACAGCCCAGCCTGACTATCATATATCACGTACACAAGATCAATTGCGATGGAAGTTCCCAGTATACTAGGTGTGCAATGCTACCTCGATAGTTGACGAATTCTGCAGCGATCTTTGCAGCTTACACGAATCGACCAGTCACGCAAACCACGCAGGAGTATAGATTTCAAGCATCTCGGCAAAAAACGTGCTTTCTACTGCGCATCTTTGAGAGCCCGAGAATGTTTTGAAGAGTTGCTGTCGTTTCGGATCTTCGAACTCGACGTAGGGAGCGCTGGCACTCGATCATACTGCAGGATGCTATGTCACTATTCCGTACCTAGCTAGTAAGAGGGTAATAGTTAGTACAAATGGGTACAGACAGGGACCGAAGAACCAAAGCGAGGCCTAAGAAGACCAGCAGGACGGAGGTGAAGTCGCATTCCAGAATGAAAATAGGAAGCAGTGCGTTCTGACAGGCGACTAGTCCACTTCGGTCAAAATTAGGGCTTCCTCCGCTTCTTCAGGGCCCCTGCCCAAATAGGACAGGTTAGGGCTGTTGACTCGGAGCCTGTTTCGGCCTAGTGTTGCCTTGCTGGTTGTTTACCCTCTGAGGGAACTGAGAGAAAGCACAAACAACTTCACCCCAGCGACGAGTCTCTCGGACAGCGGTTCTTGACCAGCGATACAGAAGGAAGGAGAACGATTTGTGAGTCAAATATGGCCAAGAAAATGATTTAAAAAGAGACTATCATCCCCTCCCTCCCCTTCTTCTGGACTGACATCAGCCTTGCTGTAGGGAACGAGCACAATCGGCCACGCCAGGAGAAGGGAACGAGCACACGGTCGGGCTGCAGCTCGAGGAATCATAATCGGAAGCATCGATTCCTTCGGACGACGGGGTTTCACTATCGGAGGCCGTCTCATACCTCTTGTCTGCCCCTTTCCTCCCTCGCTCTTCTTCGTCCTTTGGCATCTCCCGAGCAGGCACGAGCAGCGCGTACCATTCTCGTGCAATCCTATCACCCTGAGGAGATTTCTCGCGGTGCCAGCCACAGAGCATCCAGTCAGCCAGCTCCCGGAGTGCGGCGAGGGCGAATAAGGGGTTCTTCTCGAAGGAGTCGGAGGAAGGCGATAACAGACACAACTGCTGCAGACGCCGGGCTGCGCAGGACACATTGTGACGTGGTAGCATTCCCTGACGACATCGTCTGCCTTTTTTGGTGATTCCAATGCAGGTGAATTCTGGTGCGAAGGGATCAAAATCGGAGAGAGGGAATGGCGGCTGGCCTGTGAGACCTTCTTCTTCTTCCTCCTCTTCCTCGTACTCTTCCTCGCACTCTTCCTCTTCCTCCTCGTCTTTGTATTCTTCGTCTTCCTCTCCGCTATATTCATCATCATATCCTTCCTCCTCTTCTCCTTCTTCTCCTTCTTCTCCTTCTTCTTCCTCTTCTTCACTGTCTTCTCCATCATACTCTTCTTCCTCCTTGTCATGCTCTACCTTTCTATCACCATTCTCTTTTCCCTGTTCACTATGGCCTGTTATCTTTATAATAACTTCGAGCAATTTTTCCGTCAAGTCTTCCCTTTCTTTGAGCATAAAATCGAAGAATCTTTTCATTGTATCTTCCATCTCCCTTCCTCGCCCCTCTCTCCTCTCATTTTCCATCTCCTTCTCCTTCAACTCGGCCAAAGCGCTCCCCACACGAGTGATGATGGCGGAAACATCACCACTCCACTTCTCTCGTGCCGCGAGGCGAATATCGTCCAGTCGCTTCTCCTCCTGAACCGACGCGTGAACAAGATTCCTGCATACCGCCGCGGTGATAACTGACACATTCTGGCGTCGTTCTTTGTCTCGTTTCTCTTTGGTCACCCGTTCCTGCTCGAGGCTGATCTGATCGGTGTTCCAGACAGTGAAGATGATGAGGGTGACGATGAACGCGATTTGTGTGTGGGCCGAGAATGACGAACAGGGCGATCAGAAGGGGAATCTTGATGTGTTTCTGGGAATCCATGATTATCGATCTGCTATTCAGTAGTTGCCGATTGATATGATGAAGGTATGCATTCACTCTGTCTATATAGATTAGATCCTGTCTATATTTAGTACGATACTCCATGTTTCAGCCTCATTTTGTCCTGCCTCGACACAAGCAGAAGCGTTAAATGACTGGTAATTATCTACCTCTTCTGACAGAGGCAAGCGCCAGATGATTGGACTAGACCAATTGATAAACCACGTTGTATTCTATTCTTTGTTTGTCGATCTAGAAACCACGTCGGTGCCTCATTTTTGGCGCCTGATTTATATGGCAGACACTTACCCCGTATTCTGCCACTGACCACCACCTTCCTATTTGGTCAGCCGAGACACAAAGACTCGCTCGACGTCTTCCTTTCTTCTCTTCCAACCCTTGTTCTTCTCCTCTCGTCAATCAACATTACTGATAACTTCTATTCATTTATCCATCAAACAGTGCCAGCTCTCCCCCTCCTTAATATACAGGTATTGTTATACGTACGCCACATACGTGCGGCCAGGTGGTATTGGCCGTTGGGAAGGGTGCGGCACTTGCACGCAAGGAGCGGATTGCTGGTGGTCGGGATCAATCGGGGCCCAGGTCTACACAGGCCTCGATATAGTCGGCCCTGGCAACCAGAGCCCCCCACGGGCAGGTGTAGCCATGTGCAGGAATCTCCTCGTTCGGGCACTATCTTCAGGTGCCACTGGATCACCGACAGGCCCAGGTTGCGCGCCACAGGAATCAAAGCCGTGAATAGTCATACGGCCACGAATTCCCCTAGAGGGAAGGGGTGGGCGTTCTGTTCCAGATATTTGAAGGTCTGGACCGCAGTCAACTCGAATATAACCCCAAAGGTCGTCTTGAGACCCTTTGCCCACGACTGCGACATGGAACGAAGGGCCACAATCCCAGGCTGAAAGAGCTCCAGCCAGCAGTCGCTCCCATTCAATGACACAGCATCCGGTTTTTCCAAGGCTTCCGTTGTGAACACCTGAAGAAACGTCCCTCAGCGCCAGGCTTTCGGTCGTGGAGAGACTGGCCAGGAAGTGTCATCCTGCTCGAGTTCGGATGGCCTGGCACACTCACTCTAGAGCCTCGGGCAGTCGATTACTAATGAATGTAGCTTATGATTGAGCAGGCATCCTTTGTAGGACTTGACTATTCATATCAAGTTGAGATAGTATTGGAGACATAGATCGTTCCCTCTTTAATAAGCTCTGAAGCTATTTTAAATGAGCTTCTTTGCTCATGTGTCTAGAAGCATTAGCTAATAAAGTATAGCAGTAGTTGTTGAGTCTATTTGCTCTTTTTTATGATATTCTAGATAATACTAAATAGTGATAATTGTATGCCCATTAATAATCAATCCTGCCGCCTAAATATCACTCACTTTATTTAAACCCAGGTGATTTTCTTTTCATAAATGAACCAGACACATGCAGCCTACCATGTCGTCAATTGATATCCGATATGCCTGTGAAGCCGACTGTACGCAGATCGCAGCTGTCAACGGGGCAGCCTTTGCCACAGGCTTATTTCTTCGCAATGCGTATCCACAGGCCTCCCCCGCCGAGATGATCGAGTTTCGACGGGTGCATGCCCTGCGCCAGCTCCCTGACAAGACCACTCACACGCTGGTGGGCGTGGAGCGTGCCACGGGCACTATTGTCGCCCTGGCGCGCTGGAAGGGGGCCATGACGCGGATTCTTATGAATGGAGACTATCCGCCTGCTGTCACACTTAGTGATCAAGCTGCTGCCCTGATAGCCAAGCCGAATAGTGAGATTGCTCTAACTGTGTGCAACCAGGGCGTGCTGGATGCATTTGCGGCCCTCACTAAGGAAAAGCATAACCGATATTTCCATGAGGATGATATAGGTATGATCTATAACTTTGATTCATTCATTTATATAGATATATATATATATATATGTACCATATATATATACTTACTGATATGTAGAGCTGGATCTACTCTGTACCCACCCCTTATACCAAGGCCAGGGCATTGGGGCAGCAATGATCAAATGGGGCACTGATAAGGCCGACGCTGCAAAGGCACATATTTATCTGCAGGCGACAGCTGATGCGCATCCCCTTTATTGTAGGCTGGGATGGGAGACACTGGACGAGGCGGTCCTTGACTATGGGAAATATGGGGGGGAGGGGGTGAATAGAATCTATTTCATGAGGAGGGCGCCAATGATATATAAATAATATGGTAGTATATGTCAATATTAAAAGAATTGGGATATATAATATAGTTTAGTCTAATAGATATAAATTAACCTGAAATTAGGGTTAGGGTTTAGGGTTTAGGGTTTAGCACTGGAATTGTGGTTTGAACAAGTCATGGCTCATATTAGCTGACTATATATTAATATACCCCTAGTAGACAGGAAGCTGGAAAGCCTCGAGATCATAGGTGAAGCTGTCGATAGACTCCTGATCATAGATACACTCGAAGCTCTCGCCGTTGTCGGTCCAGAGCGGGCGGAAGGGCCAGCGGCAGATGGTGGGAATATCGCCCGATCCCTGGAGGGTGTCCGGGGCGGTGCCGTCCTCAACCCAGTCGATCACCGTCTGCAGCGTTGTCTGCGGCCAGGGAGCGTTGGGCTCATAGGAGTTGACCTCACAGTGGGCGACGCCCGGGATGAGGAAGAGACGGTAGAAGTCGTCCACGGCGGCGGCTCCCTCGCGGTAGGACTTGTCCGGGAACATGACCGACCGCACCGAGTCCCAGTAACGGACCGAGGCGGCGGTGGGGATGGAGAAGTCCTGCTCGCCGTGGGCATGCAAGACCTTGCTGCCGGCGGCCTGGAAGGCGCTGAGATCCGGGTAGGTGGTCTGGAGGATGTCGTCGTACTTGGCCTGGGAGAAAACCATCCAGTCGCGCAGGGTGTCGTAGGTGACGTTGGCGAGGCTGTCGATGTTCTCGGCATCCTTGATATAGTCAATGAACTGGGCCACCCAGATGCCGCCCAGACCGCTGATGTCCAGCTCCCAGGCGTCGTCGGTGCTGCTGTACTGCGTCTCCAGATCGGTAAAGTACGCGCCCGGCTGGTAGCTAAAGTAGACACGCTTGCCCTCCGAGTCGAACAGGCCCTTCCAGTACAGCTTGGTCAGCTCGACCGCCTCGGCGGAGACTGTGCCCGAGACGGCAGGCGTGGCGGAGCTGTAGGAAGACCCCTCGACGGCGGCACACGAGTACGAGGCGCCCTCAATCGTGCTCCAGTCCAGGTTCTTCAGGCAGAGATCCGAGCGCGAGACAATCCCGTCCGACTTGCCGTCCAGGGGATCGCAGCTTTCGATGGTCAAGTTCATGATCTTCTCCATCTCGCAGATCGACGGGTAGTAGTCGAGCGTCTGCTCCATGACGTTGCCTGTCAGATGGTTGACCTGCTGCTGCGCCCACCGGAAAGCTGGCGCCATGGCCACCACGCCGTCGAACTGCTCGGGGAACCGCTGGGCCTGACTCCATCCCTCGCGGCCGCCTTCCGAGCAGCCCTGGTAGTATGAGTAGACCTTCTCGTCCGAGGAGACGTTGTACAGGTTGCGAGTGAGCGCCTTGCCGAAAGTGGCCAGCTCGTTGTGCGCTTGGTAGCCTGCAAAGGAAAAAAAAAAAAGTCAAGTCAGTTAGGGTTTTAGGGTTAGGGTTAGGGTTTAGGGTTTAGGGTTGTCAGTACCGAACATGTAGGTGGCCTGCCAATTGATGGTTCCGTTGGCCAAAAGAGCGGCCGAGCTGAACTGAGTATCAAAGTTGCCGAACCCTCCATCGGTCATACCACCGACACTAGATGAAGTTAATACTGCTCTTGAAAATAAGATATGGCAAGTCAGCACTTACCCTCCAGCGATGATACCAGTCGGGATGGAGTTGGTTCCCGAGTTGATCGCCCAGCCACCACCGCCAGTGGAGACGTATCTGTTCTTGAAGCTGGACGGGTCGGGGAGCCAGTACTGGACATGGACCACATCCCCGTCAATGCCATTGTGGGAGTAGGCAAAGGTGAGGTTGCAGTAGTCGAACGTGCCGGTGGGGTAGAAAATCGACTCCGCAGTGAAGTTGCTGACGAGGCTCGTGGTCACGGAGGAGCTGTCAATAGTAACACCGTCAATGGCATCTAAGGGCAGAGCTGCCTGGGCGTAACTGTCTGTGCAGATGTCGCTGAGGGAGGCTGCTGCCGCAACCGAGGCGGCGGACAGCAATGCCGCGACAGGGACCCGGAGAGTAGAATGCATGGTGCTGAACTATCTGATCCCACAAACAATTGACAGGAGGGCAGTCGAAGTTGAGGGGGAAAAAAATAAAAAGACTTGGGGATTCTCACCCCCATTTATAGCTGCCAAGAGAGCTCTGTAGCTCCATTATAATCTGGGGTAAGTGTGGGGTGAACCCCCCCTCAGGGTAAATACTCAACCCCATCCCCACACTCAAATTGTGGTCAGTGTGGGGGAGCTTAATTTCCCTGAGCTGTTAGCCTCGGTTGGCACTGCACATCCCCCCACCAGCTAGCAACTATTAGGAAATTGCCCGCTTCTTGGCGGCCATTCCCCTCACTCTTTGCCCTGGATATTCTTCGGACCAATCGGCCGAATAATGCTCTGTGGGACAGCCGGGAAATCCGGACCTGGGCCGTGTCGATGCTGGTCTTCCACCTGCAGGTGGAAGGCCAATTGTTTCTCACACTGCAGACGGCCTGACCGCCGGATGAAGGGAAGATTACCATCCAAAAGCAAGCTTCGGAATTGTAGTACGTGTCTCGCTTAGACAAGACCAGCCACATGGTGAGATCATTGGAGTCAAGCTTTGCTTTTTCAACTGCACTAATCCCTTAGGGTTTAGCATTGATGGCTTCCTGGTCAGTACTACGCATCCAGCAACGTCATAGCTCGGCCTGTTGTCGATGGCAATCAACATGGGAGACCAGCACATACAATAAGTACGTAGTACTAGTAGTACATACCTATGTAGTAGGTAGCAAATAATGATATATGCTAGTCTAATTTAGGTCTAGGCCGTCACTTCCCCGCTTTGGAGGGGAAATTAGTTCATTCCTGCTAGGCAGAACAGGTCTATTCCAACTTGGTCACAGTTCTATTCCGAAACTCAATATTTTGTCATAAGGAAAAATATCAGAAATGCCTAAAGATACCGTTTTTATAAATGATCAACAGGGGCTTAAAGACCTCATCGACTTGGTGGCACGTCAAGACAATTCTATCGGAGACTTGCAACCCCTACTATACATCGATCTTGAGGGCGAACGCCTCAGTCGGCATGGAAAGGTGTCTCTTGTGACCGTGCTTGTTTATCTCGGACTTGGCCTTGAATATTCTTATATCATAGACATACACACGCTGGGAAGCACAGCCTTTTCTACTGTCGGCAGCCTTGGCAAGAGCTTGAAAGATATCTTGGAGTCACCACAAATCTTAAAGGTATTCTTCGACGTCAGAAATGATTCAGACGCACTCTATGCCCATTATGGGATTGCACTGCAAGGCGTCCGGGACATCCAGCTGATGGAGAATGCTTCCCGGCCCACTACAAAGAGAAGAAAGTTCCTGAGCGGCCTTTCCAAGTGCATAGAGGGGGTTACATATGGAAAAAAAAGAGACCAATGGAAGCTCTCGAAGGAAAAGGGGGAGTCTCTCTGGGATCCCAAGAAAGGGGGCTCATACAACGTGTTTAACACCCGGCCTCTCCCGAACGAAATAACCTCATACTGTGTTGGTGATGTACGATACTTGTCGGCGTTATATCGCAAATATTACCGTGACAGAAACGACTGGAATTGCTTGATTGCGGAGGAGTCACAGAAACGAGTGGCGGAATCTCAAACGGTTGAATATCAACCTCATGAACCGGAAAAGGGAATGAGTTCTTGGAGCACTGAGCAAAATAAGATGCTCGACTCCTGGAATACCCCATATAAGTCAAGGGATTACTTTTCACATTCTAAAAAGTGACAACCTAGACGATTTTGAGCAAGACTTATGGCATGACGACAATGATTTCAAGCAAGACTTATGGAATGACGACAACGATTTCGAGGATTGGACCAGGGCACCATGGCAGGGACCTTCATCTTAGTTTATATATAACACTCTGAGCTATGAAATATCAGATCAATATACATGAAAGTAAGAAAACTGGCATGATAAAAGAATAAGTAAATCATATAGTTATAAAGCCTCCATGAAGTAGCCTTTATCCAAGTCTAGATATAGACCTAAGGTAGAGAATAATAACAGGGCTAGGGGTTATCTTCTTTGTTTATTAGGTAATAACCATTCACTTTAATATTCTTTTATAAGAAATGCAGCTTGTTCTTAAGGAAGTTCATAATAATATCTACTATAGGTTACTAACTCCATAAATTATATGTTCACTACTCTATCTAATGTCTATTATCTGGTATAAACTCATATAATATCAACAGGTCTGGGTGCTTCCTTCTCCTTGACTTTCATTGCTGCCCCATTCTTTCTGTGGATAACCAACTCATTGAGGCTGATGCCTTGGAGCATATGCACCTACACTATTAGTAAAGTAACACTGTCTAAAAGGAATAAGAAGAAAAAAACATATGTTAATGTCAAGCATGTCCCCCGCAGCCCATTCCCTAGAAAATCAATACAGATGCTGGATCTGCAGTTCCCACAGAACTTATGATCTCTAGAATGACTCCCGAACCGATAGTTCTTCATCTCATCCCAGCCGGAGATCCGCTCGATCTTGCTCCGCGGTTGGTAGATCATGAGGTACCCATTGCGCAAGTAGATTGAGCAATTACACAAATGGCCAATAGATTGGCTGCTCGATCCAAGCATTATATTGATACGCGCAACAGGAAGAATAGCTATTAGAGGAAGATAAACAATGTTACACATCATGTTGGTTAATATCAGCAATAAGGCCTATTGAATCTCCACCAGCAAGTTTAACCCTAAACCCTAAACCCTAAACCTAAGCCCTACTGCCTATATAGCAGGGCAGGCCCTCAGCTCGTGGTATGTCTTCAAACACAGGTTCCATCTGCATCTAAAATCATTCCCTGGTGCAATAGTGTGGATTGTGTCCATGCCTCATTTTCAGGAGAAGCCTGGTAATTATAGTAATGCTGGTAGGATTCTGTAGCTGTAGCTAGTCTTTAGCCGGCTGTCAATTTCCTATGCCTATAGGCTATAGCAATGGTTAACTAATTGGAAGTTTAAGGTTATGGTTATCCAATAGATCAGCCATTACTAAAAATATTAAGGTTTTCTGTGCATTAGAGGAGTGTGGTAATTAGGCTTTCATGTGGTCATCTAACCTTAATTTAGAGCTATAATTGGCAAATCTGAAAGCCTGACTATGTATATTTTTTTCCTATTGATTTTGCCTATTATTTATTTGCGTCTTGTTAGGATCTAACCTATGATACCTCCCTCACACTTGCAAACACTTGAAACTTCTTGTTCTCTGGAAATCCACCCCCCAGATCGCGAGTGATGCGCAGGTCTCCAATTGAGGTCTCAACCAGGTCGAGGTCGAACCGGCGAAACACAGCCGCAAATGTGAGATACAACTCAGCATATGCGAGACTATATGATAAGCATTTATTCTCATATAGGGTTTCGGAATGAACCCACTTAATGCCTAGACACTGTCGACTGCCCTTGGAGAAGGGAACCAGGAAACTAGTCAGGGAAAAACCCTGTTCTGAGGCACGAATCCAGCGGTCTGGATCGAATGAGTCTGGGTCGGGGAAGAGAGAGGGGTCCATGTGCACAAAATATGAAGATTCACTGATAGGCGTCTAAAGTAGGCTTAGTATCATTTGATAAACAGTATCTTCAGGGTTAGGATAGGGTTATGCATACCCCCGGGGGAATCACGTATTTGCCATAGACTAGCGGGTCAACTGGCGACACTCGCGCCATGCGAAAGAGGAGCGGATGAGAGAGGCGAAGAGACTCATTAATGACGCCAGTCTATCATTATCAATAATGCATGATATATAAAATAGGCATTTTTATAAAGAAATAGACATACTAGATATGGTAGCTTCTCAAGCTGGGCACAAGACGGCCTGCTGCTTGGCTCGGGCATTACCTGCCTAAGCTCCTCGCGCAGGGTTCTAGCTAGAGCCTTATTATGGGCGAGATGCAATGCTCCTAGCGTCAGAACCTTCATTGTGGTGCCCATCCCAGCAATCAAGACAACAAACGACTCATCCTCTAGCCGGGGTAGGGTTTTCTCTTCGGCAGGAACAGAGGGAGCAGTTAGGGCTTCAAAAACAGTCTGCGGTGGCTTATCTTCATTAGAATCATCACCAGGCGTCTTCTTCTGCAGGATAGCAATGGACCTGTTGCTGATCATGCGCTTCACGCCAAATAGTTTGGCTGCCTTAGGCTGAAATCGCTCAATAACCGACAACGGGGTGGCCCGGAACAACTTCACAAGACCTGGGAGAAACCACATGAGATGGACAAGCACGCCGAACCCCTCAACAGCCTCGCTCATGCTGTTGGTCTCGTCCGGGTCATCGAGACAGCCCATGCTCTCGCCATATGTGTACTCTGTGATCACGTCGATGGTGAGGTCTGCAAAGGCGTCGTGGACACGCACCGGTGTGTTTCCTGGTTGACGGGATGCTATCTCGAGCCGTTCTATGAGCTTGTTCACCTGGGCCTGGATACGAGGCTCTAGCTTGACGACTGCCTGCTTAGAGAAGAAGTTATTAAGCATCGCCCGTCGGGTGCGGTGCTGATTATGAGAAATGGTGGAGATCATTGAGTATGGTGACATGAAGATAGCCGCTGAGGGGGCATCCTTCTCCTGCTTAGGGATGCGGTAGATGGTGTCAAAGTAGTGTGAGTCTTTGATGTGCAGGTCGCGGGGGTTGATGCGCACAATAGGGCCTATCTGTCACTAGACATTCTTTATCATTGATCTGGTTTAACTACCATATTTCTCATGCATTTTCTCAACTTCCCAAATATACCGGCCCCCAAGGACTGCGTCATAGAAGAATTGGTATAGAAACGTTGCTGCTGCTATTTTCGGGCCTGGAAACGTGTGTAGTGGGTGGAAATAGAGCCGGTAGATAGCCTGGGTGATGGTGCACCCGATCAGCGCAGTCAGGATAATCAGATACATCTTAATGGTAAAGAAAAGGCAGAATAACATTAAAAGAGGAGAAAGAATAGAACAGTCTGTCTAAGTGAAAGGCAGCCTTTTATTAGGCCAATATATATCCCTGCTTAATTGTTTTATTTCCCCTCTTGAACCCCACACAGCATCACATGGATATGCATCAACACCTCAGCTTATGTAGTAATCTGTCCCGTCTTGATTGGTGTAGCTTTATCCCTGTCCTAATACGTTAAGTATGTTGAAGAGTTTGAAGTAATATTCAAGCATACTAAACTCTATTGACTTATTAAACTAATATGCAGGCCACTTGTAATTTAGGCTATCCAAGGGTGATCAATCCTACAGCAGCTGTATTTAAATATATTGAGAGCAGCTTAGCTAGGGTTCTATAATTGTTGAAATTATATAGGTATATTAGGGTTATAAATATTTCCAATTTGCCTAGCACTTGGCCCCTTGACTAATAAGACGAATTTACCGAAGCAGATGATGAAATCAATTCTGTGGTCAATCAGGTGCCTAATCCTATCATTTCAGGGTTTCTACAGTATTCTTTTCAACAGGATCAGCTCTCTAAATCTTTATGGGTATTATAACAGCAAAAACGATATCATTTGATAGCATTCTACAGTACTACCCAGTTACCTAATGCTAGTTGATAATGGGCTATAGACTAGACTGTTTAGTGTGACTGGTGTGCGGGGTTATCTAGCAGGAGGGGTTTATCTAATGCTTTCAACTATTTCAAATTAATCCAGGTGCATCCATTTAATTACTTAGCTACCTAGGTACTCAACATGTCTATACCAAGTTATTTCCCAGCTCAAAACCCATTGCCATCTTACTGGCTGAAGGATCCTCATCCTCTGGCATCATTTCGCTCTTCAGACAATGTCCCACCTCAATGCGACATAGCTATCATTGGCACTGGTCTTGCCGGCGTAGCGACAGCATACCATATCCTTTCCGATCCGAGTTTGGCAAGTAAGCCAAACGTGGTTCTGCTCGAGGCACGCCAGGCCTGTACGGGTGCAACTGGACGTAATGGTAAGATCTAGTTCCTTACACTCTACTTGCTGACATGCTGACACCCAAGGGGGCCATCTAAAACTGGCAACATGGATTGGACGCAATACTTCAGTCAAACATGGAAAGGCTGCTGTTGCCGAAGTCATTAAGAATCAGCTGGATCAAATTGCTGCTCTTAAAGAAGTGGTTGAGAAGGAAAATATTGACTGCGAGTTCCATGTGACTCGCTCTTTCGATATTTTCTTTGATGAAGGTCATGCTCAAGAAATGCAAGGGTTTGTGCTTGCACACCAATCAGAGACATGGAGTCAACATATCCATTGGGTTGACGCTTCTGAATTGGCCAAGGTGAGCTTATAATCCTCTCCCAAGATAGTTATACAGTGTCTGATTGGCGTATTTTAGATAACTGGCATCAGAAATAGCAAAGGGGCCTTCAGTGTGCCTGCTGCCTCCCTTTGGCCATATAAACTAGTCACAGCTTTACTATCAAGAGTTCTTGAACTAGGCGGCACACTCTATACAGAAACATATGTTACAAAAGTGGAAGAATCGGACAATCAAACCATACTGACAACCTCAAGAGGAGTACTGAATGCGCATAAGACCATCTTTGCAACAAACGCCTACACTGCAGCTTTATTGCCCCAGTATGAAGGCATCATTACGCCTTTCAAGGGCCAGAACTCTCATCTTTCCCCTTCACCATCATTCCACCCAGAAATGATCCTTGATAATACATACAACCTACACTTTAACAAGCGATACGCGGACTACCTTAACCCAAGGCCTGACCATACAATCATCCTCGGGGGAGCCAAATGGACATATGAAGATATTCTTGATCGGGCTCAATGGTGGAATACCACGGACGACACAACGCTGATCAACGACGCTGCCACGGAACACTTTGATACAGTTATGGCAGATCATTTTCATGGATGGGAAGGTGCCAAAGCCCACCATGACTTTGTCTGGACTGGAAGTATGCTCTATACCCTCTACGCACATTCAACATTCTTTTATTCCATAGATAGGCTAATGGTATTCATGACAGTCATGGGCGAAACACCAGATGCATTGCCACACGTTGGAAAGGTTCCAGGTTCAAAAAGCCAGTGGCTCTTGGCTGGTTTAACGGCGCAGGAATGACCATGATTTTCACCACGGCTCGAGCTGTGGCTAGGATGGTTGTTCATGGTGTTACATATGAGGACACAGATCTACCGAGCGTGTTCAGATCGACGGCTGAACGGTTAGCGGTGAAGAACCCAGGTTTTTAATGGAAAATATAATTCCAAAATCATCAAATACTATATGGTTATATATCCTATGTAAAAGAGGGGGTAGAGATTGCGGGTGCCAACCATAGAGGGTAGAACCAATCAGCATTTCACTAGCTTCACTCTCTACATATCAAATCCCGAGTAATAATGAGGTGAAGTCAGGGTGACACACATCTGCTCATCTCCTGTGTTCTTGTGGAGTATTTACTTAAATGATCCTGGCTCATGCTAGCAGTGTTGTTTATCTATGATATATCACAAATATAGTGGAGTATCACGAGGTATCCTAAGTTGATCCCTACCACTTTTGGCCTTTTTTTCAGAATAGCCAATATACCATTGATGGAATATAATATCATCATATTAGAGCAGGTTATCACATCTATTTTGATCTGGCCTGATCTAGCCTAATTGCCACCCCCTTCTGTTCTCTAATCTATATATACTCCTCTTGACACTCCTCTTGCCATTTCTCTCAAAGCTCCTCTCTACCCCTCTTATCATACAATAAGAAAAGCACGATGCCTGTGATATTCTGGGCCAGTTTTACTGCTACCCTTGTAGTGTTATCTATTCTAACTATCTTACAAAAGAAAAAAAGCCTCCGCCTTCCCCCTGGCCCCCCACGGAGGTTTATCGTTGGGAATTTGAAAGATCTTCCAAAGCCAGATCAACAAGAATGGCACCATTGGATGAAACATAAAGAGCTCTATGGTATGAAATGTCTTCATTATGTATACATTTATATCCAATTGCTGACAGATTAGGTCCTATCAGCTCCCTCAGTGTGCTTGGAAAATGCATTATCATCCTGAACGATTACCAGCTGGCGATACAACTACTGGAAAAACGATCTGTCTACCACTCATCCCGTCCACAACAAACCTTTGCCGATATGTCAGGCTGGGATAATGTGCTTGGCTCAGTGCGAGATCCAGTTCAACTGCGCGATACACGCCGGTTTCTGGCCCAGGGAATCGGGTCTAATAAATCCGTGTCTCGCTTCGACCAGGTTCAAAAAGCAGAGGCCGCTCGGTTCCTGATGAGAGTCTTGAATGCTCCAGAAAAGCTTCGTCAGCATATACAAAAGTAGGTCTACATTTAAAAAAAAACTGCGGTCATTTATTTACTAATGATATAGGGAGGCCGCAGCTGTTGTACTGAAGATTGGCTATGGATATACAGTTGAACCTCATGGTGAGGATCCGCTTGTCATCCTAGCTAATAAGGCAATGACCGATTTTTCCTCTGCCATGCTTCCAACGTCGTGGCCAGTGAACTTTCTGCCTTTCTGTAAGTCACCCACTTGGGGGTGGAGTTGTTGTTCTGACTGCCATAGTAAAATATATGCCCACTTGGATGCCTGGGTCAGATTTTATCCATGTTGCTCGGCGATATAAAAAGACAGTCACAGCATTCAGCGATGTTCCTTACAACTTTGTCAAGGAACAAATGGAAAAGCAGACGGCTGTGCCATCATTTCTCTCGAATGTTCTCAGCAAATCATCTATAAAGCCTGGATCTCAGGAGGAAATCACGATTAAATGGTCAGCTGGATCGTTATATGCTGGAGGAGCAGATACAGTAAGTCTCAAGCCTTATGATGGCTCAATTATAATCCTAACTCATTTTATCAACCGAACAGACTGTTTCGTCGCTGGCGACATTCTTCCTTGCCATGGCTCTTTTCCCAGAAGTACAGCACAAGGCCCAGCAGGAACTCGATACAGTGGTTGGAAACGATAGAATCCCAGAATTCCATGATCGAGCAAGCCTTCCCTATGTTAATGCGGTGATTCAAGAAGTCTTTCGCTGGCGACCCGTCGTCCCTATAAATGTTGCACATGAATCAACCGCTGATGATGTATGCGAAGGATATGATATTCCCAAGGGGTCTATCATTCTTGCCAATATCTGGTATTTCTAGATCCTATATTATATATGTCATTTCTCTAATCATATAGGGCATTTACTCGGGATGAGAGTATCTACCATGACCCCATGGCATTCAAGCCAGAGCGGTTTCTTCCATCTCTTAGTGGCAACCCCCCAGAACTAAAACCCTCCATGATATTTGGATTTGGCCGTCGAGTTTGTGCTGGGCGTCTTCTTGCAGAAACAAACATGTTTCTTACTGTCGCCCAGTCACTGGCTGTGTTCGATATTTCAAAGCCATTGCAGAATGGTAAGGAAGAGGATTTCTCGGCAAGTTGGTTGCCAGGAGTAATCAGTCATCCTGCCCCGTTTGAACTCTCCATTCGTCCACGGAGTGATAAGCATTTGGAGATTATCAGATCTTTGGAAAGGCAGTATCCTTGGGAGAAGAGTAACGCACGGGATATTGGGAGTGTTGTGTTCTAGTGGTATAGAAGGATAGATCTGATATTTTCAGTATTAGATTTAGGTAGATCCATGATATTTCAGCTAAGAGGTTGCGTTTGACTACAGAAAGGGACTATATCAGACTGAGTGTATCATCTGCAGGGTTGATAACCAAAGTATGGATTAATTACTCAAAAAATATAGCTACCTGGTGCCAAGTATTTCCTAATAAAAAGGAAGTAGAGCATAAAGTGAAACATAGATAGATTAGTAAAGTATAGAAAACATAATCACTATCTATACAATATAAACATTATTATACACTATACTCTTATCATCTGAACTAATAGTTGTAGAGATATCAATATCAATTATCTATAAAGTAAATACCCAGGCATGCTGCATTCCATCCCAAGAATGTCAACAACAACAGCATCACTTATTCCTCTCAATCTTCTCCTCTTCATTGACCAACTGATCACCATACATCTCTCTGATCATGGCCAAAAAGCTGTTTCTTGCCCTCGGGCTTCTTGTCGCCTCCAGCCATGCCGACGTGGTAAGAAATTGGATCTACAGAGGATCAGAGTTCTTTTTATACTCCCCAGCTAACAACAACAGACATATTCATGCCGCAAGTCCACTGATGCCGCGCTGAGCAACAACAAAGGCGATCTCCAGGCGACCTTTTCTCGCGACTGGGCTCTCTCCGAAGCGAAACGCGCAGGAGTGACGCCCAACACGTCTGGATATCCCCGAGTCACGGTCCCTTCGACGCAGCTGGATTTCACCGCCACCTGTGCCAATGAGACGGTGTACGAGTATCCGCTCTTTGCGGACGGGAAGACCTCCTACCCGAGCTCGGATGCGCTTCTGGTGCATATCCTGCCTCATTATCGGGTGTATTACAACGCAGAGATTGATCTGTGTGGGATTGGCATGTTCTCTGGTCCGAACAGTACGGGGGTTCCTCATTTATGCAATGAGAATTCTACATGAATGATTGTACTAGAGATAGTAATAGCTATGGTATTGATTATTCCATCTCCAGTTTCACAGAATGCCGTTAGGGTTGTCTTATATTCTGTAAGACAACCCTAAGTTAACTTGGTGTAAAGTATTCTGCGGGACTTATAAAAGTTATATTTAAGGTGAGTATATAAACTAGTTGATTAAAATATATTCCCTATATAAAGTATTAATTACCCTTCATACTGATAATAAATGAAAGAAAGTTAAATAATCATGGTAACAAAGTAATAGGCTATAGAGTACTATTGGAATAATTGGTAGTAAATCAATCTTGATGGTCTATTGGCAAACGTCTGCATAACACGAGGTCATGCATACACGAGCTCCGCCTTGCGGCTGCGTGACTGATAGAGAGCTGAGATTCCAAGATTATCTAGTGATATATCTTGATACTCTTGCATATACATCAACATACATCAATATACATGTGTTGTTGTATTCTATACTTTGCCATCTATTAACAATATGAAACCTGTTCAAGTGAGGTTGTTAGACGACTTGCTGCACCGGGTATCCTTGTTTATATCGTCTATCCAATATATGCGATACCTGCTCTTCGCATCGCTCCCAACCGCCCAAGCAGCCGCCAACGGCACTATCACCGGCTACATCAACATCAGCAAATGGGGCGAGACAGGCATGGCGATCCGCGCCCGCAGCAGAAAAGAATGTCTGGTCAACCTCAGCGTCGCCCTCCAGGCGGTCTCTGTGCTGGACAGCGCCGAATACAACGGCGCCGCGGGGGCGCTGAGCCTGCTGCCCACCGCGGGCGCCCTGCTGGGCTCGCCGACGCGCGAGATGTGGCTTGTCTTCCAGTTGATGCCGATCGCGGGCTTGCTCAGCATGTTTCTTAGTCTGGGGGGGAATCTAACCCCGTCCCATGTGGGCGATTATACGGACATTTTCCAGCAGAGGAGGTTCCCCAGAAACACCGAAGACGGTACCCCTGACGATACCTCTGATTCGGTGAGGTTCGCTAGACAGGTAAAGAAGAGAGCGGAGGATGATACCGGGGGGGGATCGTATGCCAGAGTCTGGATTGGGATCTTCCTGCAGGTTTGTTTGATTGCGACTCTTCTGATTGCCATGTATTATTGTCAGCGGGGGGCAGTCATTACCTGGTGGTGTCATGTAAGCTACATACCCTACCCTAGCCTCCCCTATCCCAACCCTAAACCCTAAACCCTAAACCCTAACCCTAAAAGATCAAGACGATTCTAATCTACTACATATAGGCATGGGGATGGATGTACTTTTGGTACTTTCTAGTCACCGCAACATCGATCATGGACAACATCTTCGCCGCTCCATTCTCCCAAAACTACACGATGCGCGTGTGTAAAGCGCCGAGTAACCTCCACCTCAGCGATACAGCATCTCGAGTGATTCCCCGCACCAGCAACAGGGATAGCAAGAGTTATCCCTCCGCTCTCGACAGACTCGAAGCAGGAATCAACACCCACAACCGAGTGATGATATCCCCCGATTCCCCATCCACCATGTCGCGAACATGCTTCTACGCCGTGATTTCCGTCCAGGGCGTATCCCGCCTCCGCGCGCTGATGCAGACAGTCGCCAGGGCTGCAACGGTGACCGTGTATGCGTTCGGGACTGCACTCTTCGCCTCTGCAACCTTGCTCCCCATCTCTGTCGCGCTGATGGTCTTATCGCTCGTGCTGGGGGTGGGAATCCTCGGCCGGGTGGTCGCCATGTGGATTGCGGCGGAGATGAACGCGCAGAACGCTCCGATCTGTCATGCGGTGGTTGCCTCGCGAGACGCCGCGGCGGAATATATCCAGCGGATCATGGAGGAGGAGGGGCTGATGGTTGAGATGGAGGGGCATTTGATTGTGAATGGGGTTTGTCTGCTGCGTCGGAATAGATGGATGAGTTGGTCGCGGTATATTGGGTTGTTGGCTCGACCGTTTGATCTTGTTTCTTTTGCGAAGAGTTGACAACTATATCACTATATTAACTATACTATTATTCTTACTATATCATCTATACCACGGTACTACTACTTCCGCATCAAAACCAAATAAGCAAGCAGTCGATAGCCAAAAATGATCCCAATCAAAATCCCAAACCACTCGCCCTCCAACCCGGTATGGATGCTGAACTCGGCAAGAACATCGGTCCCGCGAATCTTGCCGATGGAATTCAGATCACTGGAATACGAGCACTGATAGGAGGCATCGCTGCCGGCACAGTCGTACGTGCGGTGCTGGAACTCGTTGACCATCATCCCCTGGAAGACATACGCCTGGTAATCGATGTAGTGGAAGACGTATCGCCAAAACACATTCAACGTGTTCATGGGAACAAGGAAGCCGTCGACGCACATCCAGAGCCCGTTGGCAAACGCCGTGATGGCCAGGGCGACGACAAACACGTCGAAGACGGATGCAATCAGCACGACGAGCGATTCGGCGGCGAGCAGGTCGAGGAACAGCCAGGCGATAAAGGTGAAGAACGCGGATGGGCTCGCGCGGAAGTTGGTCATCCAGTACTGCACCACGGCGAAGAGGCAGGTGATGAGAAACAAAAAGGGCAGGCCGATGAGGAAGTTGGAGACGAGAAACGAGAGAGGGCCCACGAGGCCGTTCGCCCGTTCCTGGTGGAAGGTGTGCAGGTCCTCAAGAAACGCGGGCACGTACGCGACGGCCATGAAGGACATGAACGCGCTGCTGAAGAAGATGGCGTTGATGTACGGCTGGATATACGCCTGCTGCGTGTCGAAGCGGAGAAATACCGTCCCCATCAGCAGGGCGAGGCCGAAGTACATGGCCACCCGGATGCCATATGCCATCACGTCGCGGTAAGCCTTGATCCACGACCGATGCAGCAGCACGACGGGCGGCATCCATATCCGGGGCTTCTCGCTGTGATACTCGGATAGACTGCTCTGCGATGCGTTGGACTGGGATGTCTTGATGGTCGCGTCCAGCTGTTCCTGGTCCGCCGACTGGCTCCAGGCCTCGCAGATCTGCGCAGTCCGCCGGACAATCTCGCCATCTTTGTCCAGGTCGGTGTTGATCAAGTCCAGGAAGAACTCGGCCGAGTTGGTCTCGGCGGGAATGGGATATCCGATGCTGTCAAAGTACGCAACACAGCCCGCCACAGGGCCGAAATAGCACGTCTTGCCCCGGGACAAGAGGCACAGTTTATCAAACTGCTGGAACGTTGCCGACGAGGGCTGGTGGATGGAGGCGATGATAATGAGCTGTTCATTAGCATCTTTTCATTCTTGAGGTTAATTTTCTTCTTTTTCTGAACGTACGTTGTTCCGTCTTCCAACCTTCTTGAGATAGCTGCAGACCTCCAGACTGAGAGCAGAGTCCAGCCCGCTGGTCGGTTCGTCCAGAAAGAGGATCTTGGGGCTGGTGACCAGCCGACTGGCGATGCTCAGTCGTTTCTTTTGCCCGCCACTCAACCCCTTCTTGATGGGTGTTCCCACAATTGTATCGGACTGAGTCTGCAGACCAAAGCTCTGGATCAAATCGTCGACGCGTTGGAAGGCTTCTCTTCTCGTGACAGAACTAGAGGGTCAGCAACTGGTGTGAAACAACGAAAGAGTGATCAAGTTGATTACCTAGGAAGAGCCAACTGAGCGGCAAAAACCATCGTCTCCCTTACGGTCAAAGAACCGATCAACGCGTCTTCCTGCTCGACGTATGCCGATAGATCTCTCACCAGCCGCAGCGACAGAGTCTGTCCGTTCGCCAGGATCGCGCCCGTCGTGCTGGCGCCCGCCGCGGCGACGCGGTGGGCCAGCGCGTTGAGCAGCGTCGTCTTGCCCGACCCGCTGGGCCCCATGATGGCCAGCATCTCGCCGGCAGAGACGATGCCGGCAGCTGCGGTCAGGATGGAGAGGGGAGTCTTGGTGGAGCGGTCTTTGACGGTGACGGTGAGATCGTGCCAGGCGAACGACTGCACGATCTCGTTGCTGGGGTAGCCGTTCTTGTTGCTCTCGAGGTCGCCCATCTTGACTGTAGTACTGGTAAACGAGGCTTGTCAGCAGGGTTGAGTAGACCGATGCTACTATCGATGACAGGAGGTACCTGTGACGCCTCTTATAGACTGGCTGGTCGGCGACTGGCGGAGGACTCGGTGAGGGGATTCAGAGAGCCTCAAGGGTTAAAAGATGGTCGCCGGCGAACAAAACAGACAAACTGGACTAACTGCAAAGAGATGCCCGGGCAGCTGACTGTTACCCAGTTGGGTATAGACAGTCCCCGAGGATCCCGAAAGGGCGTAGTCGCCGAATGCAACGCCACGCTAGCCTTCTCTAGCCTAGTGTAGTCCCGTTGAAGACCCCAAAATGGCCTAATTGGGCCGGGATTTAAATTGTCTGGAGAATGCCGGGGGGAAGTACTAGATCTAGCTTATTATTAATTAAGGTGGCTAGGAGTAATTAGATGATGACTACATAGTTCTAGAATAAAATATATTAATAATAGAACTCTAAATGTGGAGTACGCTTCAGCTATGTTACCCTTCTATATGGTGGCCTTTGACTATGTAGTAACTACATATTAACTGGCTCTAAATAATTAACCAGTTAAGCTGAGTAGTTAGGCGGATTATTAGAGTAGAGAGATGATTTGGTATCTCTGTTTACTAATGGCTCTACTAAACCTATAGTCTTCCTTCTAGTAATCATATAGTTACTGCATACTCCCGTTCAGCTTCTTGACATCCTCATGCCCAATACTGTCCACCCATTTGTCCTTCCGATGGTGATAGATCTCCAACCTCAGCTCTGTACATCTCTCGCGGTCTTGATCATCCAACGTGCCAGACTTGACGACAACACACTCAGGATCATCGCTCGGCAGCGACGTCAAGGGCGTGCCGCAGTCGGGACAGAACTCGCGCCCGACTTCTCCCCCCAAGTCGCCACGGTCCAGGAACAGCTTGGGGGAGCCTTGGGTGTACTGCATGCTGGACTTGGGCACGACGATATTTGCTGAGAAACCGGAGCCGGTGTTTCGCTTGCAATTAGTGCAGTGGCAGAGGACAATCCAAATTGAACATTAAATATTAGATCCTTTGATATAAAATAATAGTGAAAAGGCTTACCTTGGGCAGATTTGAGGTGGGGAGATTGATCTGGTAAGTGATTTTCTTACAGAGACAAGACCCTGTTAATTGAGACATGATTTTTGATAGATATAAATTTTGTAAAGAGAGAAATATCCAGCTCTATTGGAAAAAGTGTTCTTATATTCTTCTTTCGCGCCCTTCAGTTTACAACTGAGACCCACAAAGAGCCGGATGCGGAAATATAAAGATAAGATAGTCTACAGCAGACTCAAGAGACTCTTTTAGTCTAATCTAGACTTCTTCTTTAATTATAATGAATCCTAATAAGAAAAACTGACTGTACCAAATATGCAGGCGTGAAGGTGGTGAGGACTAGTCTTAACCAGGCATAGTCACTCACTATTATCGCGTCATATAACAAGCTCTCCCCTCCTCTCCTCTCCTCTCCTCTCCTCTCCTCTCCTCCCTACAAGTTACTCAAAATGCGGGAGATTGCATCGTTTGAGCTGCCAAAAGTATGTCTATCCTCTGTCAATCTTGCCGTCTACTAATATAACAGTGGACTGAGGCCCAGAAACCTCATGCCTCTCTGGTTCTCGCTGGCAGTGCCCCCCCAGCTCTGTCCATCCAGAATTTGGTCTCGCTATCGACGGACAGACCGACAACCACGCAGAATCTCTATATCCACACCCTTCCTCTATCTCTGGGGACTCCTACTGGAGGCGAGTCTCTTCGACGGGCCATCGCAGCTGTCTACGAGCATGAAACCATCACGTCCGACCACATCCTGACCACAACCGGAACCACAGACGCCAACGCAATCGTCTTTCAGACGCTCTTGCGAGCGGAAGACCATGTCATCGTCATGTATCCTTCCTATCCACAGCTCTATTCCCTGCCTGGCGCCATTGTTGATGAGGTCTCCCTCTGGAGATTCTTCCCCTCGGAGAAATCTGAAGAGGAGCAGATCCGCCAGCTGGAGGAAATGATCCAGCCAAACACCCGAATGATTGTTCTGAACGACCCCAATAACCCGATAGGCACTGTTCTGAGTTCTGGCTTGAGGGAGAGAATCATTACTATCGCCCAGGAGAAGAAGATTATCGTCTTTGTCGACGAAATCTTCCGTCCGATCTTCTATGACAAGAACAAAAACAGCATTGATGAAAGGAGCGCCTGCACTATTGCTGACAATGTGATCGTCACCAGCTCACTCAGCAAGGCATGGGCATTGCCAGGGGTGCGAGTCGGCTGGATCGCAACTCGAAATAGTCATCTTCTCGGACAGTGCACCAATCTACGCTTCTACATGACCAATTCTCTTGGTGCCTTTGATGAGATCGTCGCGACAGAGGCATTGAGCGAGCGAATCCGTCCTCAGATCCTTCGCCGACATTTGCGCTGGGCTCAGACCAGTGTCTCGCTCTTACAGGCCTTTGTCGATGAGCATCCAAACACCGTTTCATGGGTTACCAGGCCTGTGGCTGGATCAATGGCGTTCTTGAAATTCACGATCACTGCTAACCAAGCGGTAGACGACGTCGACTTTTGCATGAGACTTAATAAACAAACGGGCGTCCTGCTTGCTCCAGGCAGTCTATGCTTTGGTTGTCAGAATGGCGATTTCAAGGGATGCGTTCGCATTAATCTCATGGTGATGCCGGACGTGATGTCTCAAGCATTAATGAGGATTCATGGCTTCCTACTAGGATACCTCGCTGCCTAATTTTCAATCATAGAACTACCGAAAAAACCCCTTTCACCAGCATCTCCTCACGACTGCTTTTTCCAAAATCGCAGTTTATATTTCCGCCTTGCCGTCGCCATCGGTTGATCACTATTCGCTCCTAGGCTCTGTGTAATCTGACGTGGTACTTGTGTCAGATTCTTCGATGGAGGTTTTTGATCTCTCCGATCCCATTCCTCTCGTCGTCTGTGTTCTGCTGCCCAGGCTGCGGCGCGATCACCCACCGGAAGTTGAGATATCCGGTCTTCCTCGACTGCCCTTCTCACATGCTCTGTTTCGCACTCTTCTCGGTCAGAAGGATTCATCATTTGTCAGTTGGGGTTACAACATACCGGAATTCATCGTTTCATGATGAGGAGAGTCCTTTGGGTTCTTATCATCTCTCCTTTTGATCAGGTTGAGGTATTGAGCTTCGATCATGTCATCCTGCTCCGAGGAAAAGAGGTCCTGGGTCTGAAAGATGCGGTTCTCAAAGAGGAAATCATTGCTCAGGATGACCTCGTACTCAATGTTATCAAGGACGACAAAATCACATCGATATTTGACATTTTCATCGCCAAACGTCCATTCAACCCCCCGAACGATGCCTTTAGTGCGTGTGATAGAGCCATCTGCGAGTTCCAGCCACTCTCTGCGCCACGAATCGGTTTCAATGTCCAAGTTCAGCGATTTGGCAAAATCAAGGGATATCACCATCACATCCGAGCCGGTGTCTGCAAGCGCGCAGGCAGCATGGCCGTTCAGCTTTCCCCAAGACCCTACTCCTCTTTCTCTGGGAGAATCAAGGAGGAAGAGCCGATTCTTCCTGCCGGTGGTGATGCTGATGATTTTTCTTTTCATCCGGCTGAAGAACTGCCCCAGAGATCCGGAAGATGCCAGGAACTTGCGGCCGAGAATGACCGGATGGACACACTTGGCCAGGACGTGGAAGATAATATCATATGCCCTCTCTTCTCCCTCAAACCTCCACGGCAGTGTGATGGTGCCCAGCGGGCGAACGGTTCCCCTGCCAGGCAACTGGATGTGTGGCAGATCCGAATGGGGCTGGAAATTCCACTTTTGTCGTCGAACAAAGTCGTATGATACGATATTCACGCACGACCCGGTATCTGGACAGCCGTCAACCAGAACGCCATGCAACCTGCCCCTGGTTACCAGTTCGGTGGTTGCACTTGGGGGGAGTGGGGGGCAGGCATTTGGAGAAATATATTGTCCTACTAAACTCTTTGGGGATTCCAAATAGAACGCCGGATCTCTTCTCAGTAGTCTTCAATGTACAAATCTAGAAAAGAATAACTCACTTCCGAATACCAGTCCGGTCCATGTCGCTTGTGGGGGACATCTTTCATTCAGATCTTTCTTACGTACATCGACCGATACTTTCCAGTCTTGTCAGTAGTCTGCAACGCATCGATTTTGGATCCAGTGAGTTACCTGGGCGAGGATCACTTTGAGGCTTCTCAGATATCCGTCTCATCGTTTTCAAACGCTGTTCTTTGATGGAACGTCTCTCAGACATATCGAATACATAATGAAACCCCCAGCCAGAATCATCTATTAGTTCGACCTTGTAGAATGTCTTTGCTATTAGGTTCTTGATAAAATCTGCTTTATCGTACTCTGATTCAGCCATGCTGAGATCGCATAACATGAAGTTGATAGCCAGAGAGCGAGAAATCTTTTCTCGCAGGGGGGGGGGGGGATATCATATCTTCAATCATAAGCCACAAGGCTGACATGGGTGCCTAATCATTATTAAAAAGGAAAATACAGCCTTGCTCCGCCCCTTTGCGATACGAACATGCTGGTAGATAGGGAAGGAATCGCAACTACAGTCCTCATCTCAGAATAGCATATATTGATTCTATTTTTGATGACATTCCAAGCAAAACAGGAGAGTAAAGGAAGAAGACGCGATGGATACCCCGCCCTTTCTGCTTGGATGTCGACAGACCCCGACGATGAAGGCTTCATCTTCCGACGGTTCAGTCGGCTCAGCGCTCGGAACCTGCTTCATCTCCAGAGCCAGGTGCTCTCGCTTGAACACCAACTGGACGAGCTTGATCAAGAGTCCCGTCAAAGCCAGGATGTCGGGCTTCGACGGTGGGAAACGTTTGCAGATGAAGCATCGGCTCTCCATAACGAACCGGCGCAGAGGAGACAGAGACTCTATGAGACGCTAGAAGAAAGAATCAAGGCCTATCGTATAAATTTTAACATTGATGATTCCAGACATTCGACATGTCTTGCTGACTGTTAAAGATCAAGCGTTGCTCTTACAAGCAAGCATCTCCAAGCTTCACCGTCCACGCTCTCGCGTCCTCCTCGCCTTCCAAGACTGGTTTCATGGGAGAATGAAAGAAACACTTCCAGCCCCGATACTGAACGGGCGTGCAATCACCTTACTAGATGATCCTCAAGATCTCGTCGCTCTCCACACGCCTGAAGACGAAGATCTCCTTTCCCGCGTCCTCCAAGACCACTGGCCGTTCCCTGTATTTTTTTTTTTTTTTCTTTTCTTCCTCTTTCTATCCCTATTCTATGTTGCTAACTCACGCAGGGCCATCAATCCGACCCCCGCGACGGCGTTGCCCACTTCCAAGAACGACATGTTGTTTTAGCAGTGGCCATCATCAATGTGATCGTTTCCGCTATTCTGCTGGTGGGACCGATTGTCACTCTTTATATAGTCAAGGATGCGAAGTCGAGATTGGCCATGATTGCAGGCTTCACGGCTTTCTTTGCCTTGAGCGTGGCAGTCATGACGAATGCCCGGAGGGGAGAGCTGTTTGCTTCCAGCGCTGCATATGCTGCCGTTCTGGTTGTTTTTATTTCAGGAAACTCTTAGATATAGTTGGTTGTATACTTGAAGTATATCTATTTTGTCAATAGGTATAACTAACCCTAACCCTAACCCTGATAGAAGTAAAAATCTGAACATATCATGAAACAACCTCTTATTCTCTATGTCTAGTCCTATCAATCTAGATGAATGATGCAAAGACAGGAGTCTCTTAGGACTCATTGCATCCATAAATACAACAGTCTCTCTTTTCAAGACATATAGAGAACATCAGATGTGACATTTTCAAAGCAACTTGTCAGGGGCTCCGCATCATAGCAGCTGGATAGCACCAGGCTGCGCAAGTACGCGCGCAATGCTACTTTAAGCACATCTGAATGTTTCAGTGAGATGATACCACGGCTGCCCAGCTGGAGTTGAGACTGTTTCAGGACCGCCACGTCGATCTCGAATGTCTGCACTGTGCCAAACAGTCCGGGGATAGTCAAGATCCCTGAACGGGTGTCGTACTCAACGCGCAACGAGGACGCATTGCTGGAGAGATGTCGAGCAGAGTGATAGACCAGGTTTGCAAACTCGTCGTTGGTCAGAGTCAGGATTTTGATCGCCTGCTGGACGTCCGCGTTCTCGTGTTCCAAGGTGGCCACGAAGACATCGAATCTGAAGAGGAGCTGCAGCAGAGCATGGCGAGTTGGTGAACTGGCTGTTTTGCGAATGATAAACTCAGTTTTTTCTATGAATTCCTTCTTCTCGTTTATATTAAGATCCAGCATATCGGCCCCCTCTTTCATCCTCACGACAAATGGCCGCGCCCGAAGCGCAAGTGAACATAGCAAAGTGATGACTTTGCCTCTTCCATTATCTTGAGATATTCCGGGTAAGAGATAGCCCTCAGGATGCCAGGGCAGATCCAAGACACTCGCTGCGATGCGCTGGATGTCCTCCCTCCGAATGAAATAGTCTGCAGAAGAATCGCCTCCAGAGAGACGCACCCATGGCGCCGATGCGGGCACATAGGTTTGGTCGGCAATGTCGTATAATTGAGAGCGTGATTGATTGTCCAGCTTCATCTCGTACAGAGCCAAGTATTTGCTGTCGGCGGGAACCGGGAAGTAATTCAATACCTCCGCCTCAGAGACGATAATCTCCAGTAATTCATATGCAACGACAGGCTTCCGTGACCGCTCTAGCTGGAACCATGTCTTGGGACGCACTGGGGGCCTTGACCGTGTTCCTCTTGAATTTCTTCTAGTTCTCTGAGAACGACGATGACCACCATCTTGTTGTTTAGGGATTGATAGCCTTCGTCTATACCCTCTTCCAACCTCGACTGAGTCTGCATCATCGTCACTGTCGATGCCAGCTGTCTCCTCTAGCGGTTCAAGAAAGTTGATAAAGCATTCCTGATGAAATGGAAGAAACCCGATGGAAAGAAGCGCCATGGCCGCCAGCGGGAGCTGGTCTGGCTCGATCTCAAGCGGCTTCAGCAACGACTCTGCCACAAAAACAGCGGACCAGGACGAGCTTGGAGTGTCCCCCGGGCTCCTATAGGGTTTGAAGAAGAGCAAACTGCCCGTCAACCCATGGATGGTTTCTTTAGGGCTCTTTCCCAAATGAGACGCCACACGAAGCATCCCAAGCTCTATATCCGATCTGTTTATCAGCGAGGATCCGCGACGGTCCCATTTTCTTGCACCGCCCTCCGTCCGGATCTTGCGTCGACGGTCCGTATCATCAGAGATACGGCCGACGAGGGCAAATGCAAACAGGAAAGCACGGCTGACAGGAAGCATGGCGACACTCTCACTGACCACGACATCCGCGGTCTTCTCCATAGTCACCCCATACGCAAGTAGGAATGCGCCGAATTGAGTCCATGAAGCTGACGATTCAGGGATGTCCTCCTGAAAAGCAGGCATGCGTTTGGCGTCAAACGTCTTCCACTCCTCATCGACGAATTTGCGTGTCTTGTGGAGGTTTGGGGCCCGGACCTTATGGCCAAGACGTATACCAGGCCATAGAGGAATCCCCCGAGTCACAAAACCAAAGCTATTAGGCCCAATGGCGGATATTGCACGGTTTCGCTCAGTGTGAGCGGCTCGCCAGATGAGAAATGGCGTCAGGATGCCGGCTAAGGCGATAAATGCAAGCCCTGTGGCCACCCAGGTGCCTATAACCCCAGCAAGGTCGAGTGCTCCCATTGTATGGGTAGAATTTCTTTGATTTCCACTTTTCACAAATTGGTTAGAATCAGTCAAAGGGGAAAGGAAAAGAGATACGGTGGGTTTACAAGAGAACTGGAAAAACGGAGGGGTACTCTTGAAGCCTCAGCCTCAGCCTTGCTCCTCTAGTCAGCCTTACTTGGGCAATGGGCATAAACCACGCACTGTGATAAGATCCTTCGCCTCGATGAAGAGAAATCAGAGGGTGATGAATCCTCATGAGAGAAAAATATCAGGTATAGCAGGATATTCTATATATTTTCAATAATACATAGGCAGTGGTAGCCACAAGATTTAATAACACCAGGATTTAGTGGCCTCTACTTCTATAGAGTAATTATCTCCATCCTATCTAGGTATTAAGGTATCAAGGCATCTCAGAGTATCTAATAGGGTCTTGTAATCCTAAGTTCTACAAAACTAACACGAGATTTAATTGAGAATTAATTGAAGGAAAGAGTAGGAATTGATGTGAGTTGATGTAGAGTCAATAGGAATTACCTTCTATGTCTAGGTTATGGCAGAAAGTTACTTTAGAGAGGTGTTAAATCCATAGTTGTCTAGTGTCATCTTGAGGACTCACTGTATCACTCCCTAGATCCTCTTAAATATACTCTTTCTTGGATCAATTGATTATGTAGTCACAAAAGCCCCACATTCCACTTTGCAATCTGACCTCTTTAATCAATCCCCTTACCTTTACCTTTAACTTCACCTCAACAAATATACTACCTTATTAGATATCAAATCACATGGGCCTCATCGACTTCATCAAGGAGATCCTCCGGCCGGGGAATGGCGTGGATTATCCTCAAAAGGGCGACATGGTGACGGTGCACTACCACGGCTATTTACACGATCCGTCGCGTTCCTGGGGAAGAGGACGGCGGTGATTCCCTACTCCATTGATATTTATATGGTGATATCTATTTCTCACTATTATAGGTTTGATAGTAGCATTAAGCGAGGCATTCCATTCACCTTTCAGGTTGGCATGGGGACGGTAATCAAGGGTATTCTTTCTCTCTATTCTTATTATTTAAATGAATCTTCTGACTTTTCAGGATGGGAGGTTGGCATTCTGGGGATGAGTCTGGGAGAAAAGAGTCTTCTTACTTTTGGACCGTATGTTCCTTATCCTATATCTATAAATACTGCTAATGATTAGTCACTATGGATATGGAAGCAGGTATGTTGTTTATATGCTAGTCATTTTAATGCTTATATGCTAATTAAATAGGGGCGCTCCGCCGTTCATCCCTGGGAACGCGAATCTTGTCTTGTAAGTGATCTTTTCTGATATAAACGGCTCTAATTTGTATAGTGTCGTCGAGCTGCTGGCTATCAACGGTCGTACTTGGGAGAGTACCTAATAGAACACTTAGATATGTACTATATTAATTATCATCTTTCTCTACTGAAACCAGAGCAGCCAAGTAACAAATACTAATGACGATGATTTCCATAAGGACACTGAGATAGAGATACACTGTCTCATTCCCATCAATAGGACTATACATGTAATCACCTAGAGCACCATATACAAGCCAGACAAGGGCAACAGCAGCTTACATCAATGGCGTGATAGTCACTATAGTGATAGTCACTATAGTGATAGTTGAAGCAGTCTTTAAAGCCTGTGTTGTGCCCTTAATCCCAATGATTAGTCCTGTCAGAGAGAAGAGGGAGATCACCAGGAATATTTTAGGGGAAAGTGTATTTATTATTTAATTTCTAATATTATTAGATTAAATACTCTCTCTTTCTCCCTCTATAAATATAAATCCACTGTTTTACACTCTTCCCACTAGAGCAACACACATCAACACATCAGTTCGCAGATGATGACGGAACTTAGACATTCAGCGATGAATGTGACAGGGCAGAGAGCATGGTGGAAGCAGAGGAACTACAAGATGGTGATGCCTATGTGGTAAGTCATGAGAAGTTTATATTATATATAGTAGATAGTATAAAGAATTATATAGAGTATAGAATATTGAAATGTAGAACACTTGTGAAAGCAGCGGAGATTACATATGCTGATGCAAACTGTATACCCGATTAAGACAGTGACGGCCTGGATTACTTTTGTAGTAGCCTTATGCCGATACAGTTACTTTACCATTCTGTATAGGCAATTCATAGGGTGATAGTATATAATATTCTATATAGATGCTGTGGGTATTGAATTAATATATGCCAGATGAATTTGCAGCGCTAGAAATCAGGTATAAGAAAGCGGTCATCGTCTGGAGCAAAATTAGGATCAAACTCAATGATACGCCCGAGGAAGGTTGCCTTTTGGATGCCTGTAGCTGAGCGGATGGCGCGCAGCCGGTCGATGGTCCAGGCGCGGATTTCAGGCGGGTTGATCGGAAGATAGCCGGCCAGGAAGAGGAACCAGACGAGAAAATAAGCTCCAGACGCCGGAGCAGACGCATGGAGATGGAAATACGGGTCGGCTTGGCGGGTGATACTGCCCCGGTCGTCGACGAAGCCCATCATCTGCGGGACGGAGGCGAGGATGCCGTCGCGCATCTCGATGGTGATCTGGGCTGCGCGGCGCAGCAGACCGACGTAGGCGCCGCCAGGGACCGGGTCGAGCTCGTGCGGTGCCCAGACGCGGCACTCACGCTGCAGCAGGCAGTAGGTGACCTGGTGCAGGAGGATGCGACAGCTGCGCAGGCCGTTCCAGACTTTGGCCACCCAGGGGTTGTAGTAGACGTGGTAGGTGCCGTGGTAGGCGATGCGCGGGTCGGCGCCCGGGTCGTGGATGGTCTTGAAGCGCCACGAGTCCGGCATGTCGGCGACGACGGTCTCGAGGCGACGGTCTAACTCGACGGCGTGGGAGAGCAGCATCTCCCACTCGGCGGGCAGGAAGGGGGTCTCCAGCTCGGGATCCACGCGGTGCCACAGGTCCATGGCCTCGATGTGCGCCGTGCTCAGCACCCACGAGGGGGACTTGCGGGCCATCTTGCGCTCCATCTCCATGCGCAGAAAGCGCAGGCGAGGCGGCACGGGGAGGCCTGTTCGCGAGCACAGCGTCAGCACATGGGAGACGGCCTCGCCGAAGATCTGCAGGCCCTGTTTCGTCCGGAACTGGGCTGTGCCTCGGTGCATCAGCAGGTTCGCCGCGCCGTTGATGTGCTGGCCCCATGCCTGCAGCGAGTTGTTGTCGGTGCAGGTGATGGTCTCGAACAGCCCGAGCACCATCACCGCAAAGACAGTGCTGTCGTCGCCCGTCATGACAGAGTTTCTCAGCGCCGCGTTCACCTGCTCGATCGCCCTCGTATAGCTCGCCCGCGCTTTCGTCATGATGCTGGCGGATCCTGTGGTGCCGGCCAGTCCAGCTAGCCCGGCAGCACTGACGACCACCTGCACCAGCTCCGTGTTGCCGTCCGGGTCAACCAGCATGTCCCAGGTGTAGTTGAGATAGCCAGGACATGGCCCAGAGTCCAATACGACGTAGTTGGTCAGGAAATAGTTCACCCCTAGATCGCCTAGGCTTTCTGACGGTGCCGGGGGAGATGACAGCAAGACGTCTATTGTATTGAAGTCATTGTCAAGGTCAAGAGTATCGAGGGTATCCAGGGTATCCAGGGTATCGAAAGCACCGAAGACATTGACACTATCCTCACTACAATCCTGCTCATCTTGCGACGCACTAGACTTGTCGCGATCAGACGACGCCAGCGAAGGCGACCTATCCTGACCAGACAAAGCCGTCGAGCCCTCTAACGCCCTCTTGTTTGCCTGCAGAGTCTGGACCCGACCGATGACGCGGGTCGTTTCGTCGCGGAAGACCAGCTTCGACGTGTCGCGATACCCGGGGCATTTCTGGTTTGTCCGACGGCCTGGAATGTCATCACCATCAGCGACATCCTGTTCTTTCGATGAGTATCAACGCACACTGTCCGCAGGCGGGAGTCGCCTTATCGCACTGCTCCTGTCAGCCTCACGCTGCAACCCAAGACAAAGACCCAGAACCCACCCGCCTCTTCTTGGCACGGCACAGGGCGCAGCTGGCCGACGGACGCCCGCAGTAGACCATGCCTGTTTCACGCTGAGGAGCAGTCGAATTCGAGAGGTAGAACTGGGCGATGGCGCTGCGTCTCCCGCGCGAAGATGCGAGGAGATTCTCCTTTCTTTCGTGATGCCTGGAGTTGCTGGACGGGGTGGTTAATTAAGGAATCACGTGGTGGGTGGCTCAGCGGCCTAGCCGTTTTGGACTAGATCTACAAGTGTCTGCCTGAGGTGTAACTTAATGCCTGAGGTGTATAATTGATGCCTGAGTTGTCTCTGCCTGAGGCCATTTATTCCTGCCTGAGGCAGACTTACACTCACTCGCTCCTCTCCTCCTCTTCTCCTCTCAACGGTTCTCCTTCCTCTCAACACTTCCCTGAACAAGCACTGAGATTCAAAGCATTATTATTCATCGTCTATTGACTGTCATTCACTGTCACTGATAACATCAGCAGCCTTCTCTGCCATGGCATACAGAATCGCCTGGTAATGAGCCGCCAGCGACAACGGCAAGACACTCGCGTCGACGACTCGCAGCCCCTGGACGCCAGACACCCTGAGCTGCGTGTCGACCACCTTGCCCATCGCTGCCGAGCCTGCCGGGTGGTAGAACGTCGCGCCGCCCTGCTTCACATGCCGGTCGATCTCCTCGTCCGTCGAGTGCGAGGTAAGAGGGCGCAGCCCCGGTCGGGCAACCTGCTCGACGACCATCTCCTTGCCCTCGGGCGTATCGCAGAGCAGCCTGGTGACCTGTCGGATACCCGCGCGCAGTGACACGCGATCGACTTCCGTCGCGTAATAATTGGGATCGATGAGCGGGGGGACGGTGACGTCCGCGGACGATAAGGTGATGGTGCCTCGCGACGTCGGGGTGACGCCCAGCACTGCCGAGGCGATGTACGAGCCGTCCATGGGGACCTCCTCGGCGAGTCCTGCGACTGCGGCGCCCGCGGGGGCGTACACGACCAGCGTCTCGACGTGGCAGAAATCCGGCGCCAGGTAAGGGTGTTGGGCGAGACCATCGCCGACGGCGATGCCGTCGAGTTTCAACGCTTGCTCGAGCTGCTCGCGAGGTGTCTGCACCGTTGCAACCCAGCTGGCGGGAAGACCTAGCCCGTACGCTGGGATTTCGTTCCACTGCGGCGTCCCGACCGACAGGCCTTTCTCCGGATGCCGCAGCTTCCACCACTGGTTGAAGGAGAAGTGGTCGTGGAAGTTCCTGCCGACGTGTGGTGCATCCACCTGCAGAGGAATACCGTGTTTGGCGAGCTCTTCTGCTGGTCCGATGCCCGACAACATGAGGAGTTGCGGCGTGCGGTATGCGCCTGCGCAGAGGATCACTTCTCGCCGGGCAGAGAAGCGGGTTGCCCTTCCATCGGCCAGCTGCACGCCCGTGGCAATCTTCCTCCCCTTCTGTCCATCATCTTCGGCAAGCAACACCTTCTCGACCATCGTCTCGGTTCTGACGCTCAGGTTCGGCTTCTCCCTCACCCCGTACGCTTCGCTGGCGAGCTGGCGGTGTCCGTCCCGCCAGTTCTCCGTCAGCTCAGCCAAGCCGAGCGGATGGCCAGCATTCCCGTCCACAATGGTCTGCACGTCCAGCCGGTTCCAGGCTGCCTCCAGCGGGTCTCGCAGCGGGTACCTCCGCTCCGAGCTGCTGGAGGACACCGTTGCGTTGTGGATCGGACCAGACCGCCCATGCACTGCCGTGTCGGCCGCCGGGTCCCAGTGCGTTTCCGAGCGCTGGAAGTACGGAAGCAGGTTCTGGTAGTTCCAGCTCTCGTCCTGCACGATCTCCGCCCACAGATCGTAATCTGCGGCGTTGCCACGCGTCCAGGTGCCGTAGTTGGTGGCCGTGCCGCCGCCCAACGCCTTGCCCGCGCTGTTGTAGCATGCCCGGCCGTCAAGATGCGCCTGCGGGACCGTCGTGTACGCCCAGTCGAGCGGCGAGTGGTGTGCCCCGAAGCACGCCAGCGGTGACCCCGTCAACCGGTTGTTTCTCACGTCCGACCCGGCCTCGAGGAGGAGGATGGAACGTGAGGGATGGGCCGAGGCGAGCCGAGCAGCCAGCACGCAGCCAGACAAACCGCCGCCGACGATGATGTAGTCGTATGTATCGGACATGTCAGGTAGGTAGTATTGATCACAGACCATGAACAGCCTTCAAACTAGACTTAAGGATCTGACCTTATAGCCCTGCAGTTACCCTATTGTACCCTGTACCTGGTGGTCCCTATCGACGTCATTGCGTGTCGCGATCCACCAATTGATGTCTTGTGAAAGTGTTTATCATTTCCTGACTGAGTAATTCTGTTGCTGTCAGCATCTATGTCTTTTAGTATGCTTATGACTAGTAATCTAATAATAGACGAACCAGTATATATATCAGCTATTCGCAGTTGATATTGATATCAAGGAAATGTATAAGGGGTATAATTCGGCTTGCTTTTGGCGTGGAGATGTAGAATGAAGATTAGATATATTATATCTGGTCAAGAATTCACTCTAATATCATATTCTATCTCTAGCTAATGGGTAGTATACATTACAGGCCTTTTCCTATGATTTAGCTATCAGTAATGAATGTAAGGTTTGGTGTTTTGACTATGTATAATTGAGTGTATAGAGTATATATTTGAACTTGAGTAGTGTCAGAGAAGCAACTGCTTCTATGATGCTTCTTCTTTCCTTTCGTCTTAAGAAATATAACCATGACAGTCCAAGGCCCGGTCCTAATTTCCAGCAACAGAAACGACAGAGACTACAAAATGATTAAAGGTTGTAGAGTCTGAAGTGGTGTATAATATAGACGCTTAGTAAAGAGTAAAAAAAAAAATGAATTGAGATAATAAATATACAGATAGAAGGGGAAGGCAAATCACTCGAAAAGGGATCTGAACCTGTCGGCCCACTTGCCACCGGAGGAAGGGGGAATCTCCTCGTCGATGATGGCCTGCAGGCCGGTCTGGAGATCGACTTCGTGCGGGGGGATCCACCAGGGCTCGTTCCAGGCGAAGAAGATCTTGTGGCCAAAGTAGAAGGCGAGGAAGAGGGGGATACCGATGTAGGAGGTGATGAAGGTGGAGAAGCTCCAGTGACCGGGGAAGAAGACGGTGAAGCCGTTGAGGAGGAGGAGGAGGAAGAGGATGATGCCGGCGACCCAGGTGATGTAGGGTTGGAAGCGGGCGCGGAAGGGGAGCAGGTCGGTGATCTCCTGGGCGAGGGAGGCCTTGCGGAAACGGATGTAGATGACGCAGACGCAGACCCAGCTGAGGTAGCCGCCGGAGTTGATGAGGTTGACGAACCAGTTGAAGACGGTGGCGGTGGAGGAGCTGACGTTCATGTAGGCGAGGAGGGAGAAGAGGGAGGTGAAGGCGAGGGAGTAGTAGGGGATGCCGGAGGCGGTGCAGCGCTGGAAGATCTTGGGGGCGATGCCCATGTGGGCCATGGAGTAGAGGGTGCGGACGGCGAGGTAGAGCCAGGAGTTGCCGGCGGACCAGGCGGAGAGGAGGATGACGACGTTGATGACGGAGTCGAGGCCCTTGATGCCGGCGTTTTTGGCGGCGATGGCCCAGGGGGAGGCGGTGGCGTCGCTGCTGCCGCCGAGCAGGCGGCTGTCGTTGCTGGCGACGATGAGGCCCATGAGGAAGGCGCCGAGGATGTAGAAGACGACGAGACGGATGAAGAAGCGGCGGCCGGCGGTGGGCAGGTTGCGGCGCGGGTTCTGCATCTCTCCGGCGGTGATGACGAGCAGCTCCGGGGCGAAGGCGAAGACGAAGACGGAGTAGCGCAGGGTGGCGATGAAGGCGACGAGGCGGCCGCGGGCGCCGGTGAGGATGTATTCGTTGACGGGGCCCGGGTTGTGCCAGTAGGCGAAGCCGATGGCCTTGTGGTCCGGGGCGCCGCCGCAGGTGATGACGAGGGCCATGACGAACAGGCCGAGGATGCCGAAGACCTTGATGGAGGCGAACCAGAACTCGGTCTCGCCGTAGACGTTGACGGGGAAGCAGTTGAGGCCGACGATGACGACCAGCATGATGGTGATCCAGACGGCGATGCTGACGTTTGTGTTCCAATACTCGATGACGAGGCCGGCGGCGGTGATCTCGGAGGGGACGGTGATGGCGAAGATGTAGTAGTACATCCAGCCGAGGGCGAAGCCCATGCTCTTGGAGCCGAAGCGCAGGGCAAAGTAGGGGACGGAGGAGCCGGGGACGGGCAGGTAGGAGGTGAATTCGGTGGTGCATTTGACGATGACCAGCACCAGCAGGGTGAGCAGGGTGTATCCCAGCAGCAGGAAGAGCGGCCCGCCCAGGGAGAGCGACTGGCCGGAGCCGAGGAAGAAGCCGGTGCCAATGGTGCCGCCGAGGGCAATCATCTGGCTGTGACGAGACTTGAGGCCACGCTTGGTCTCGACCCGGGTGAGGTTGTCGACCTCGCCGACGGACTTGGAGGGGACCAGGCCGATCTCATTCTCCAAGTCGTCGACTTTTTCCAGTTTCGAGTCCATGATGGGTACCAGACTCGGGCTAGTTTGAATAGACAATAGAATAGACAAGAGACAATAGACAAGAGAAGGAGTCTATCGTATGATCGAGTTGACTCGTGTGTCCTCCAGGGCCGTGTAGGAGTCACATATTAAATACTGTTCAACAGAGAGTTAGTAAGAGAATCGTGATATCAAAGGCGTCGCCAGGAGGGTCAGAGGCTTTTGACTCGGCTCACCTGCTGGCCCTTTGCCTCCGCCAGGGCGCTGGGATCTGTCCAGGCGAGATAGGAAGCATGCGGCAGGGCATTGTTGAGATAAACTCGGAGCGAGTCCATTCGACCATTCGACCATGGAGCCATTGACCCGGCCGACCCATCGGGCTCCATTCAGGATCATCCTCGGCTTATCTTTGACTCGGCCCCTTGCGGGGTACAGAAAGTGTCAATTGACTCGGCTCAAGCCGGGATGATAAGAGTTGAATGTACTCTCTCTACATCTATCACACGTGTACACACACTCTCTCTCTACACACACACACTCTCTCTCTCTCACACACACTCTATCTCTCTCACACACTCTATCTCTCTCTCACACACACACACTCTCTCTACTCTACAATGGGCAAGTTCAAGCCCGTGGTGATTGTCGGCGCCGGAGTGCTGGGCCTGACGACGGCCTCGGTGCTGCAAGACAAGTACCCCGGCATCCAGATCACGATTGTGGCGGCAGATGTACCGCTGGTGCCGCCGGTGGCGGAGAGAGAGCGGCCGTCGCCCGACTATGCGTCCATGTGGGCGGGAGCGCATCTACGCCCGACGCCCGGGGCGGACCGACAGCTGGGCGACGAGCACTTCCTGGCGCGTCGCACGGCGGCGGTGATGAAGTCGCTGGCGCGCAGCAACCCGGAGTCGGGGGTGCAGGAGGTGGACGGGCGCGAGGTGATGGAGTACCTGCCGGAAGACAAGCAGCGACTCAAGACGGGCGACTCGTACGTGGGCGCGGACGACCAGTTCCGGATCCTGGAGGCGCACGAGATCGAGGCCGGCGGCGTCTGGGGGTGCGAGTACAAGACGTGGATTGTCAACGTGCACGTCTACTGTCGCTGGCTGCTCACCAACTTCATCCGTCGGGGGGGGAATGTGGTGCAGCGTCGACTGAACAGTCTCGACGAAGCATTTGACCCGTCTTTGTTCCCTTCTTCTCCTTCTTCTTCTCCTTCTTCTTCATGGTTGGTGGTCAACTGCTCCGGGCGCAACTTTGACACGGACGAGAAGACGAATGTGATTCGAGGGCAGACGGTGCTCGTCAAGAACACGTACCACAAGACGGCGACGCGACACAACAAGGACGACACCTGGTCGTTCCTGATCCCGCGACCGCTGGGCGGCGGCACGATCGTGGGCGGCACGAAGCAGCACGGCGACTGGGGCACGGAGATCCGGCCGCAGGAGACGGCGGAGATCCTGGCGGCGGCAGCCAAGTACTGGCCGGACTTTGTCAGCAAGGTGGAGGATTTCGAGGTGGTCATGGTCAACGTCGGGCGGCGGCCGTGGCGAGAGGGGGGGATGAGGATCGAGCGCGAGGAGTTGGGCAAGGGGCGGGTCGTCGTGCACGGATACGGGGCTGGAGCCAGAGGATACGAGCTCAGCTGGGGAGCGGCCGAGCGGATTGCAGGATTAGTGGATGCAGGAGTTGTTTCTGCCAAGTTATAGTTGGGAGGGAGGAGAGAGCTGGTGGTGGTGAGAGGGAGAGGAGGGAGGAGAGAGTTGGTGGTGGTGAGAGGGAGAGGAGGGAGAGAAGAGGAGGGAGAGGAATTGTTGGGAGGATCCCAACAATTCAATCTCGTGACCGAGACCAGCACTGTTCTACTATACTACAGAGTACTATTCTACTATTCTCTTTCAGTTCTACTATTCTACTATCTACTGCTGTCACTGATTGTTTAGAGGTTATCGCTAGATAGGATAATAAGATCTAGTAATAGATAGTGGTGACGTAGAGTAAGCCAGTAGTCCGAAAGTGCCCGAGAAGTATATTTGAGTATTATAAGTATTCTAAGTATGGAGTATATTTGAGTATTCTAAGTAATAAGTATTATAAGTATATTATTAATATATTATAAAGTATTGATAATAGTATTATAATATAATATATCCATGGTAATATTATATCAATTGTCGTTCGCCATGACCTGCCTTTTGGCCGGTTAGAGTTGACTGATAAGCATGTCTGATAGGGCCGAGTCAGGATGATATAATAAATATATACTCTAAATATGAATAGAATATAAATATAATATATATAAAAAATATATTATATATAGTATATTATATATATATAATATAAATATATATATATACTATATATACTATATATACTATACTATACTATACTATATAATACTGTAGTATCTGTAGTATCTGTAGTGAACTAAAAAGTCTAAGAAGTCCAGGTCATGTGAACACTAGTGTCCCACTTATTTCCCACTTATCCCCACTAGCGTCCCCACTAGCGTCCCCACATATTCCCCTCCAACCAATCACAGACTGTGGGGTAGCGTGCTGATAACCGACCGGCCCCTTCCTGCTGATAACCGGCCCAGTGGCAACGCCAGTTGACTAAGACGCTGATAACCGATAAGTCAAGTCGAGGGCGATAGCCGATGATAAGACGAGAAGGAGGGGTACCTGAGCCGAGTCAGAAAACCCAGAAGACTCTCGCTGGATATCATAGATGCGTTGAGATTGACTGATTGATTGATCAATGTATGACTCGCCCGCCATGTCGCGGCGGCTGTGGACCAAGGCAGAGGACGAGCGATTGACGGCGCTGGTCGAGCATTTTGGAGACCGCCGAGGGCGCGACGGCAAGTGGCAGGAGATCTCCAAGCTGCTCCCGGGGCGGACGAATAAGGTATTCTTAACTCTTTCTATTTGCATGTTATGCTAATCTGCTGTTAGGACTGCCGGAAACGCTGGTTTCACTCGCTGGATCCTGCGCTGCGCAAAGGCCGCTGGACCAAAGAAGAGGACGAGCTGCTGCTGGCGGCCCACCAACGCCTAGGGCCTGCCTGGAAAGACATTGGTAGGAAGATTTGAAGCAGATGAAGAGAGAGAATGATTGAGGAAATATCTAATATGCTGGCTAGCCCTGCTTATCAAAGGGAGGAAAGACGACCAGTGCGCCAAACGATACAACGAGATCCTCAACCCGTCGGCCAAGAACCGGCTGCGACACTGGTCGGCCGAGGAAGACGCGTATCTGACGGCCAAAGTCGGCGAGCTGGGACATAAATGGGCGCTGATCGCCGCCGGGCTGGAAGGACGCCCGCCGTTGACGTGTCGCAACCGCTGGCGACGCCTGTCGACCAAGATGGACCCTGCGATGCTGTCGTCCGATCCCTCGCCGGGCACCCACGCCTCGCCCTCGACGAATCCCTCGCCGCTGAACGAGACGCAGTCCTCGTCGACGCCGTCGGGCATGACGGCCTCGCCGCCGCCCGACCAGGGCGACAGGGAGGGTCTGGAGGTGCCCAGCAGCCTGTCGCCGGGCCTGTCGGACAGTCTGCTGTCGCCGCTGTCGCCGCTGTTTGCGCTGGACAATCCGGGCATGGATTCCAACGAATCCACGCATTGGAGCTCGCTGTCTACCGATCTCAACTTCTCCCATCTTCATCAACCAGAGACGAACATGCTTATGTTCCCACAGACCCTATGGAATCTACCACAACAACAACAGCAGCAGCAGCAGCAACAGCAGCAACAACAGCATCAAGAGTTCACAATGGACCGGTCGAACGAGCTGGAAGAAGCCGCCGTGCGCCAGGTGATGCCGATGGCGCAGGCATCCCTGGCGCAGTTCCAGCCGGCGAACGGCGTGCAGATGCATCATCACCATCATTTCCACCATCATCACCACCACTACCACCACCGGCGGTTTTAATGTACATTAGTCTTAGACATTACTGAAGTCTTAGTCTTAGACAAGTCTATTTATGACAGAAGTCTAGTCTAACAATCTATCTAGTCTAATATCCCAACGACCGGCTCACCTGGTTGACCACCGGCTTCCCCTCTGCCCGTCTCTGCAGGTTATACGCCAGGATCTTGAGCACCCGCTCGTAATAGTGGTTGGAGTTGCCGGCGCAGTGCGGCGTGATGATGACGTTCTTGAACTTCCACAGCCTGTGGTCTTCCGGCAGGGGCTCCGGCTCCGTGACGTCCAGCGCCGCGCCGCGGATGAGATCCTGATCGAGGGCGGCGACGAGGGCGTCGGTGTCGATGACGCCTCCACGCCCGACGTTGCTCACGTACGTCTTCTTCTTGCTCAGCAGGGCGAACTGCTCGGGGCCCAGCATCTTGTCGGTCTCCTTGGTCAGCGGCAGGGTGATGACCAGCAGATCAAGGTCCGAGGCCAGGAACTCGTCGAGCTGCTCCTTGCCCGAGAACCAGCGAGCAGGCAGCACGCCTTCAGGATCGCCGAGCCCGGCTTCCGTGTAGGCGTCCGACTTGCGGGATTCCGCCGTCGCCCGCTCGTGAAGCGTGTACGCGTGGATGTTCATCCCGAACGCTCTGGCGACGTGGGCGACCTGCCGGCCGACACAGCCGTAGCCCATGATTCCCCTGACAATTAGCAAACAGATACACACCAAGAAGATAGAGGGGAAGAGAGGAAAGATGTACACTCTTAACCCGACGGCGTCTTCGGTGTCCTCGTCAGTGACCGGGTCGATCCACTTGGATTCCCGCTGGTTGTCGAGATACTCGGGGATATGATGCTGGAAGGCGAGGAAGGTGGAAAACACCCACTCGGCGATTTGGGGGCTGCTCAACAACATTAACAACATGAACTATGAACATATCATCGACATGGATTAGACGTACGGATGCACGCCGTTCGAGGTGCAAAAAGCAATCTCCGTGCTCTCAAACACGGGCAGGCCCATGATCTGCCCGGCGCCGGCGCTCAGCAGCTGCACGTACTGCAGCTTGGGCGCCATCTCCTTGGTCGGGAAGAGCTTCCAGGTGAACAGCACCGTCGTCTCGGCCCACGTCTCGGCGGCGATGGCAGGCAGCTCCAGCGAGTACATGTCCGTCAGATGCACCTCGACGCGCAGGTCGGGGTACGTCTGGCGGATCATGTCGAGCCATTCGGCGGGGGGGGTGAAGTGGATGAGAATGAGAAAGACGGACATGATGGGGAGAATAGAGAAGAGAAGAATAGAGAATAGAGAATAGAGAATAGAGAATAGATGATAGAAGATAGAAGATAGAAGATAGAAGATAGAAGAATGATAGAGATATTTATATAGTTGTGACTCGGGACAGGGCCGAGTCAGCGGGTCGGCATCTGAAGGGTATTGATATTATATAGAGTATACATTATATCTATCATATCATATATATATCATATATACTATATTATATTTATATATACTATATTATATTTATATATATATTATATTATATATATTATACCATATACATTATATATATATATATATTATATATATTATATTATATACATTATATATATCATATATATATATATATACAATGGCAAACCGCGCCAAAACCCTCAATGCAGACGTCTTTACCATTGCTGACCTGCGCGACAAGGCATCCAAGAAGCTGCCAAAAGCATACAGGGGTATTCTATCTTCTATTCTATCTTCTATCTATTCTTATACTGCAATTAGAATTCTACAATGAAGGCGCCATGGACATGATCAGCGTGCAGGACAATGAAGCCGCCTACAACCGCTACAAAATCCGGCCTCGCATCCTGCGCAACGTCGCCGACCTCGACACATCCACCGACCTGTTCGGCCACCGCATCAGCTTCCCCTTTGCCTTCTCCCCCGCGGCCACGCACAAGCTGGCGCATCCCGACGGCGAGCTGGCCACGTCGGCCGCCGCCGCCGCCTGCAACATCCCCATGGCCCTGTCGGCGTACGCCAGCTGCGCGCTGGAAGACGTGATCCGCCAGCGAGGCGAGCAGGGGACAAACCCGTACATCATGCAGTTCAGCATCCTCAAGGACCGCGCCCTCACCCAGCAGATCCTCCAGCGCGCAGAGAGCGCAGGCTACCAGGCCGTCATGATGACCGTCGACGCCCCCCTGCTGGGCCGTCGTCTCAACGAGTTCCGCAACGCCTTTGCCCTCCCTGCGGGCGTCGGATACCCGAATCTCAGGCTGGCCGCCATGGCCGATCTGGTCGACCAGGGCGCCGGCCTGGCCTACGAAGACGCCTGGGAATGGGATCAGGCCATCCCCTGGATCCGCAGCGTCACCCGCCTCCCCATCTGGCTCAAGGGCGTCTACACGGCCGAAGACGTTGCCCTGGCCATCCGCCATGGCGTCGATGGCATCCTCATCTCCAACCATGGCGGCCGCCAGCTCGACGGCGTCCCGGCCACGCTCGACGCCCTGCGCGAGTGTGCCCCCATCGCCAAGGGCAAGATCAAGATCGCCGTCGATGGGGGGATCCGTCGCGGGACAGACATCTTCAAGGCCTTGGCTTTGGGCGCCGATTATTGCTTTGCAGGCAGAATTCCCATCTGGGGGTTGGCAGTAGGTCATTGTCGTCTTCAATCATTCCCTTGCTATCTCACTGCTAACTCGGTAGTATAACGGCTCGAAAGGCGTCGAACTCGCTGTCCAGCTGCTGCATGAGGAATTCAAGCTCGCCATGGCTCTGGCCGGCTGCAGGACCGTCAAGGATATCAACAAGAGTCATCTTTCCATTCTGCAGAACGACGGCGTTCTTTCGAAGCTGTAGAAGACACCAGAGATTTCTAGACTACAAGTTAGGTTAGAGTATACAATAGGTTATGGTTTAGACAAATCAGACAACTTATACTTCATATCTATTATAAGGCCAAAGGACTTGTTATTGGGCTTTAAATATGATAAAGATATTGAGCTCTTTACTATTATAGTTTTAATTATTACTATTATTCTAATCAGATGTTATAGTAGAGCTCTATAAACTGCTCTAGACTGGCCCTACATTATAAAGAATCGTCTAAGAATCATAGAATTAATAGAATCATAGAATCACCTAGGATTGACGCAGGAATTGGCCGAATCAGTATACATTAAACTTAGATACCCGCCTAACTAGAACAGAATGGATAAAATTAATGATTCAAGGCTCAGATTATAGACTAAGCTTAAGAGAAATGATCTTGTATGTTGTGGGCGTCAAGTGGTGTATTCTATATGCTTTAATACTTTCAGCTAAATAATGCAAGAATTCTCCCTATATAGAGCCAATAATAAGATAATATTAAACTAACTAACTAGATAACTTTTAGGGATGAATATTATCTATAATATATGAGTATATAGTAAGGTTAGGCCCTAATAATATGCAAATAATAGGAATATTAATAAGAAATAGTTAATAAATAGTTAAGTTAATAATATAAAGAGAAGCTGTATATCTAATAATTAGTATCTATATATCTATTATAGTTAATACACCCCTCTAGTATTAATTAGATTATTAATATTATAATCCTTTATAAGGTTAATTATATCTAGTATCTTAATAAATCTTTAATAATTTAGGCTATTAAGGGCCTTAATAAAGCTATCTATAGATATCTAGGCTATTAATATTTAGGTAATCTTTAGTTTTCTATCTTATACTTCTTAATAAAGCTAATATTAATAAATATTAATATACCTAAGCTATATCTATAGGAGTAGATTATTTTTAATTAGAAGGTTAACTATTTATTAATTATTATATAAGATTATAAGCTTATACTTAGGATTAAATTTAATACTATTAAATAGATGTTTTTATTAGAAGAGGTCCTTATTAGTATATAATATAATTATAAGCTCTATCTTTATTATTAATATTATTATTATTTTCTACTTTTTAGATTATTAATTAATTATTTCTTTATATAAGGTATAAAGATACCCTTTAGTGCTCTTATAATCTTAATTATCTCTATATATAGTATTACTTATATATATAAAGATATTAGGGATCTTAATAGTATCCCTAGGTATTTATTATAATCTAGTATATTAAATAGTAAGGAATTAGATATTATATAAATACTAGATAATATATTCTATAGCTTTAATATACTTCTAAGAGAGGTTCTTTAAGAATTAACTTAAATTATATATAATTTATAATATATCTAGTCTTATAATAATTATAGTATATAGGATAAATCTTACTAGTTACTAATAGTAATAGATCTATTTACTATTAATCTTTATATTATTATAAATTAGCTTCTTAATTATTATTAGTATATTTAGTGGCTTATAGTCTATTAGTCTATATTTATTAATAATAAATATAATATAAGTATCTTAAAATAGCTATAGTTTCTCTTCTTTTTAATCTTATTAAATCTATATATTTAGGAACTATTCTAGTTTTATCTTATATATCTAATAAATACTTATTAAGATATTAAAGAACTATATTACTTAGGCTTTATTTTATTTATAGTATATAAGGATAAAGTTATTAATATATACTATTAAAGTTAATATACTATTTATATATAAATAAGGATCCTTATAGAGCTTTATCCTAAAAGTAAGTAAAGTATTAAATAGGTCTTTCTACTATAGTTTTAATAATCTATATAGGCTATAGAGAGCTTATATTAATTATAGAGCTTTATTATATTATCTAAATCCCTAAGGGAATTTAATATATACCTCTTTATTAAGGATACTAGACTGGCTAAACCCGACCCGCGGGTTGGGTTTGGGGCACTAGATTCCTAACCCGCCAGGTTTCCGGGTATGCCTAGGGCAAACCCATACCCACCCATGGGTATGGCGGGTTTTAATTGGGTAACCCGTGGGTACCCGGCATGTGATTTTACATACCTTAGATTACCTAAATAGGCTAATCACCTTCCTAATAGGGTTAGGGTTAGAAATCTATATATTTATTATTAATAAAAAAGTGAATATCTAAAGATTTAATTAGTTTAAAACTAGTCATGTGAGAAACCCTAAACCCGACGGGTATACCTATACCCAATGGGTGGGTATGACACCTGATGGGTATACCCATGGGTTCTAAACCTTAAACCCATACCCGACCTGGGCGCGGGTTGGGTCGGGTTGGGTCGGGTTCTCCAGGTCGGGTATAGCCAGTCTAAAGGATACTATTTAAGAATATATTAATAATATTATATTACTTTATTTCTAGGTTAAATATATTAATAATTACTATTAGGGTTTAAAAGGCATATACTGTCAATATTATTACTTATATTTCTTTAGAGTTAAATAATTATAGATCTTTATAGATATAGATATAGGCCTTAAACTTAGCTAGATATTTATCTATATTAAATTTATATATAAATACTTACTTAAGTAGTATAATTTATTAATTATTAAGTTATTTAATAACTATAAAGATCTTATAATTATTAAGT